ATATTATTAATTAAGTAAGTAAATTAAATAATGTTTAGAAAAGACATACTTGTAACGCTTCCAAATCTGCAACGGCTTCTTCCAATTCGGCGACCTTCTCTTCTAGTGCCATTTTTTTCTCACCAAGTACTTCAACCATTTCTTCAGCTCCTAATGCTGCATCAACCTGTTTTGGTAAAAGAACATATTTTTATAAGTATCAATAAAGAGTTATCCATTAAATGTTATTTATAAATGTTGTCGTATGTATAAATATTATTTATAAATGCTTCGTACTTGTTCTTGCAAATCTGCTATCTGATGTTCCATTTCTTCGACTCGCGTAGACAATTTCTCCTTTGTGCGGCCTAATTCTAATATTTCTGACTTCTTTTGATCCAAGTCTTTCTGAAGTTTTTGAAATTCATGCTTCTCATGTGCAGAAAGATCTCGCATTCTAACGAGAGTTTCTCGTAGCCGGTTGTTTTGTTGTTCCAACTGTTTTATTTCATAACTTGAAACACCAGTAGCTGAACCTCCTCCTGCACCCTATAGTAATTATGCAATCATTTATATATTAGTAATCGTAATAACATAAACTATCAAATAATTTACCCTTTCAGACACTTCGGTTCGTAATATTTCTAGGTCTAGTGTTTGTTCTTCAAGCTTTTCTTTCAGCTGTTCTAATTCAATTTGCAATGTCTCAGCCTTTTCTTCGGCCATTTCCTTATCTAATGTTGCCATTTCTACAGTTTCTGCAAGATCTGCCATTTCTTCTTGGAATTGTTCTCGAGCTGCATGTGCCTCTCTAGCTTCTTGACGCGCACGTTGTAGTTCTCTTTGAAGACTAGCCTTTCAGAAATAAATATAAAAATATTAAAATTAACGAAAACCTCTTTCATTTAATACAAAAGCTTCCATCACTTACTTGACTTTCCATAACTTTCGTCTTAAACTCAATGAGTTGTTCAAGTTGAAGTTTTGTTTTTTCAAAATCTTTCATTCTTTCTTTATCTTGCATTCTCTTTACTCGTAAAGTTTCCACTTTTTCAGTAAGATCACGAACCTGTGTTAACATACATAAAATATATTATCTTATATTTGTTTTATATTTCGATATATAAAACAACTAAAACATAGAGAATTAAAGGGAATATTTTATTTCAATCTTTTCTTCAATTGGAGAATAGAAACTTGAGAAATATTATTTTCTAATTGACCAACCTGAAAAATGCCCTAAACTTCTCAATCTTTAAACTGATTTTTATTATTGAAAAACAAATTAATGATAGTGTTTAAAGGAACATCCAACACTTCAAATGCATACAATAACTAAGCAACAGAAGTTGAAAAAAATTTATCTAAATGTTATAAACTTTTACAATGAACAATTTTCCAATAATATTTAAGAAAAAAATAAAATTTGGTTTATTAATATAATTTACCTGAGATTTTAGATTCTCATTTTCTTGCTGAAGTTGTAAATGTGATAATTTTTCTTCTACTACATTTGCAGCTGCTGCAGAACCTGCCATGACTTGACCAGGTACAAATTGTGGTTTCAGAGTCTCTACAAAACCTGTCTAAATTGTAAATAAATTATAAATGAAATTATAATTTAATATCAGGTGTTTTTTTTATTATCGCACTGAAAACACATACATTTTACTAAAAAGTTACATTATGTACTTCAGCTGAAGTACCTTAGAATACTTTATTTCAATTAAATGATATAATTATAAATATAATTTTCTATTGGCGGTAATGAAAAAAACACCCTGTATTTCCTATGTAAAACATTATGTTTCAGAAGAATGTTGTTTTTGTATGTACATTCAACAGAATTAGTCTATTTCAAAGTGATTAATGAGATTAATTGTGACAAAAGACACCAACAAGCTACACCAAATATTCTATTAGTTCTAACAAGTGTAGGAAATTCAGTCAATGAGTTGAATTGTTATATGACACTGCAGTTTACAGTAAGTATAATACTAAGTCATCTATCATGTCCTAACCATTTATAAATGTCAACTGCATTTATATTGTAGGGATAAGGTTCTTGATAAATAATAATTAAATAAAAAGAAAGAATAAGGGTGTTCCAAGTATGGATCACAAGTTTATATCGCAATGCTGTTAAATTCCTATTCATAGAAGAGCTGTTAATATCACCTCATTAATATAACGCTAAGGGGGATTCAGCATCTAATCGTTAAAAAGAAAAATGATAATTATATATTTGAATGCCCCTTCTCATGAGAAATTTTAGACTAAGCATCACAGAACTCAATTAACAAAGCAGATCCTTAATGGAACAGTGAAAATAGTGAAGGATAAATCAGTTCCATAATCCATTAAGAAGAAGTAAACCCATCAAAGTGCAGTGATGCTAATTTGAAGTCATGTGTTACAATGCTTATGATCAACAAACAACTAGTATGAGAAGGTTTAAGGTCAGATGAAAAAATTTAGATATTACAATTAATGAGTATTAATTACATTATTGTGATCATCTTGGGCCTTTGGCTTTTTGCCGGGAGGCGAGCTCGTGCTAGGGGACTTCTGAAACACGTACGTGCATTCCCATATGAATCATTCTGTGCCAACGGAATTATTTAACATGTACTCAAAGTTTAAAGTTCTCTATTCTGCCTTATTAGTTTGTCTAACATTTTAATTATTTCTCTATAGAATTTTTTTATTTATTACCGAGTCACAGAATAAGATTCTTTGAATATGATAGTAACAAACATATAAGTTACTTCAAATAGTTCAAAGATTTAAATGTAGCAAAGCCAGTGATTTTCTATTAATCATGAGAATTTATCACATTTAGACGTATATTCCTATTTTATGGAAGACTATATCTCATGTATTCATGCCTTGTTGAATCCTCAGAATAATTCATTCACTGTGTTCACATAAATAACTGATATATCAACTTATTGAAATTAACTATATAAAAATAACACAAGCATGATCAGAACAAAAAGCAATACCTCAATGAATGAAGCTCGTTTAGTAGATGTTGGGGCTGGTATAAGTGATTCTCCTCCATCTTTGCGTTCGTGCTGTGATCCAGATAAACTTTCTGTACTTGGAGCACTTAAAAGTGTTCTACTACCAGCCAACGATAGTCTTGAACTGTAAAAAATACAATATCAACACTTTTTTAGCAAATATAACTTAAGTTCTGACAATATTTACAATTTTAGACACATATCACTTGCTATAATACTTCTTCAAAAGTGAAGAAATGATACAACAATTGCAACTGTTTATTCATATGCTTATTTATATTCTATATACATTTAGTGTAATAGGGAAAGCTTACAAATACATAGAAAGTGAATAGCAATTATAATTTTTGGCTGTTCATACATACAAAAGCAATTAAGAAAAACATTAAGACAAAATTTTCAATCATCAATTTTCATGAAATCTTACCCAGATAACTTGTCAGATTGTTGCCTAGTATGGGCAGGAGATGTTTTTCTCCGTACTCTTTTATGACCAGCATATGAATTTTAAAGATTTATTAATTATACTTGCCTATTTTTTTATTGTTTCTCATATAAAATACTGCACAATGAAATTCAACAGTTCATTTTGCAAATTAAAAACTTAAAAATTAATTAATCGATACAATAACTTACGCAGTAGGTTCATTCCTTCGACGTGTACTTATGCTAGCATGAAATTTATGACAATATATAAGTCAACATCATCGCAGATGATACGTAATATTATCTTAACAAAGATTCAATGAAATTTAAAAGAATTGAGAACCATATTACCTATTCAATCGACTTCTAGCACGCGCTGCACTGGTTTCATCTGGCGTAGTAGCACTGCTACCTGCTGATGATGGACTAGCAGGTTCAGTTCTATTACCTGCTTCATCCAGTAAGATAAGTTGTGACTGTCGTACAAACATTCCATGATTTTCAGCACACTGGTACAATAAAAATATACAATATGTAAAATGTGATTGTACAATTTTTATATTTTACACACACAAGAAAATATAATATACTTTAAAGTAACATTGTCCTTTGATAGTTCCATTGTTTTTCCCTTTAGGTTCGTCAAGTATAACTCCAATCCATTTTCCTGGAGCAAAGCTTGGATAACCAATATAAGCAATTACTCCTTGACAATCTTTGCCAGGGACTTCGACACGCTGTCCGATTTTATACGACATCTCAACCGTGTAGAATTATCACATCTAATTTTCTATAATTCATCTATCGTTGTTTTATCTTTTAGTCGATTGTATATTTGTTGCTTATTAATTATGTATCTTGATTTCGTTACAAATAGTTCAAATGACATAAATTCTCAAATGAACTGACAACATACATTGCGTTACTGTACCAATTTTGTCAATTTCCTCACATTGTTTCTGTTTTACGTGCAACTGGAATCAGAAAGTTCGAAGTTTTCGTTTCAAGTTAAACAATTTTCGTTACGTTTTACTATTCTACTAAAACTTCAATTGTTAAAATTCTAATTTGGTCATTCAAAACGTTATATCATTGATTCTTGCTTCTAATGACACACCACCCTGACATTATACAAATTGCTGTTGCTATTTAGATTTATTTCAAACACATCCAAAAATTCGAAAATACACATTTTCTATCATCTTATCTTTTCTTTTTAATCAATAACATTTTGTTCAATCTACTTTGAAATATTTTCATTAAAAAGATGTATGATTCACGAACTCGAAAATCCAAAATAAGAACACTACTCGTACATAGAAGAATATCAGGATAGTATCAAAATAAGAAATTTATTTTTTTACTGATATTATTTTATTAGATATTAAAATTTTATTCTCACAGGTATTGAATAAAATACGAGATAAATCATTACGATGAAAATTATATTAGAATATGCGCGTTAAAATTACTTAAAAATTTTTGCTAGAGTTATACGCGGGGTGCAAAGTTATTCAATTACACCTTTGAACCATATATGTATCTATATATATGGCATACATAGGATATATGTATATATATATATATGGCATCAAAATAATACCTTATGTTAAAGTTCTTGAAAAATAACTTTCTTTCAGGGTGCGTATATGTATGTACCTTGCTATTCACAGTAAATATTTTAGTAAATATCTACGAAATGGAAACGGAAATTGTTATGAAAGATTGTCATAAATTTTATTAACGTTTGGTTAATATGACGTTCTGTTATCGCTGACATCGAATGTATTTTTCTCCCCGGTTAATTTCATTAATCCATTTTATAGTATAGCAAATTATTCCAAAGTGGTGATGGCTAATCATTATGAAGTTCCCAATTGGTACGTTTGAAAAACCTTTATTAAAACGTTCCAAGTAGTTAACCTTTTTATAGTTGATGTGTAATGATACCTGTAGATGCAGAAAGTATTAAGTACATAGTACATAGTACATAGATTATGTTTTTCAGGGCTGGGAAGCCACCAGTTGGATTACATTTAGATGTACTGAAAAATGACAAATTAATCCAAGTATGACAATAATGCACTCAATAATTTAAGCTTGTGAGTATATATTAAATATATCATTTTGTTACAGAAATTAATGGTGGATGAGAAAAAGTGTTACTTATTTGGCCGCAATCAACAATTGAACGACTTTTGTATAGATCATGCTTCCTGTTCTCGTGTACATGCTGCTCTTGTTTATCATAAACATTTAAATCGAGCATTTCTTGTTGACTTGGGTAGTAGTAAGTATTGTACTGTCAGTTTCAAGTTACATCATTTCAGACAGTAGGCAACGCATTGTATGTATTTATGTAGATATTTAATTTGAAATTAAAAAAGCCAATTTATGAAATCTACTTAAGCAGTATATGTATATTGTCAATGATGTGAATAAATATAAAGCTATATGTGTTTTTTAAAGAAAATATTAAAATTTATGTTATAAATGTTACAAACTTTGATTGATTTCTTAGCACATGGAACTTTTATTGGTAATCTTCGTTTGGAACCACATAAACCTACACAATTGCCAATTGATAGTACATTTCATTTTGGAGCTTCTACCCGATATTATATCATTAGAGAAAGGCCACAAACTGGCACTAGACCCATTATTGAGGAATTAGAAAAACTGTCGGAGGATACAGATGCTGGTGGTTTATTAGGTTTACCTGAAACAGAAACAGAACTTGATGTATGTCTTAAGTGATTTTTATTATTTAATTATATTATTACAGTATAGTTTAATAATTATGTTATTAATTACAGAATTTAACGGAATTCAACACTGCACATAATAGACGTATATCTATGTTAGGAATAACAGATGATGAAATTCACAAACCAACTAGGAAACGAAAAAAAAAAGGAATTACTTTCAATGATGATGAAGAAGTAATAAATCCAGAAGATGTCGATCCATCAGTCGGAAGATTCCGCAATCTTGTACAAACGACCGTCGTTCCCAGTAAAGTAAGAATCATTCTTAATTGATACTATGTCATTTATGTATATTCGTTTACAAATTTATTGTTAATTTATGTTTTAGAGAATGCGTATGGAAGGAGGTTTAATATCTTTATCAGAAGATCACAATCCTTTGAAACATCTTCAACCTACAACAACTACACCTCAACTTTATCAAGATTTACCACCAGAACAGTTCACCCCATCGTCGTTGTCTCTTAATCCATTTTCTAGTGCACTGTCCTCGTTATCGTCTCGACTTGGCATTGCGCTACCAAATCCAGCACCTGAGGTAGAGATGACACCCAATCAGATACAAACGGAAACGCCACATGTACCAGAAATACCAGGACCTACTGATACACGGACAATGGAACCAAAAAAGAAAAAATACGCCAAAGAAGCTTGGCCTGGGAAAAAACCTATTCCAACACTTTTGGTGTAATAACATTAAGGAATTTATTTTTATCAGATAGTTTTATTATTTGAGATTTAAGAATTAAGTTATATAAGAATCTGTGCATAAATTACTCGTTTAAAGTTTCAGGAATATATTTAGTTAACTAACTGCATTAGTATCTTAAAAATTCAATTAAATTTATTTTTATATAATATAAACTATACAAATGTATTTTAAATAGTAATTCATTCATTCAAATTTTAACTTTTTTTCGCGGACATCAAAAATCTAATTAAAATTTTCTGTAAGATAAACAAACATAAATAAATAGAGATTACTTTAGCATTAAGGAAAATGTAAATGTAATGTTAAGGTGTTACAAAAACGTGTTTGTGACACAATACTTTATCACAAAAATTATCTTCGTTAAATACAGCCGGAAAAGTTTATTATATTTACTTATGAATAATGCACTTATTATATTTACTTACTATATTTACTTATGAATAATATGAATATTGCATACGTAAGATAGCATATATTCTTTGCAAATAACATTACGATAATATCGTCGTCAGGGAATTTTAATTTGTTTTGTGAAAGTGACAAATCATTGTCTCCCGCGTACTTAGTGCAATAATTATACTAATTTTTGAGAAAATTACGCAAACAAAGAACGCATTATAAATTTTACGTGTTTTCCAAGTAAAAAAATATTATTTGTAGTAAACAGAAACTAATGTAATAATATACCATTCAAAGCTAATTGAGGGGTATATTTTTGTTTATTTTATTAATATATTATTTTATTTATTTTATAAAAAAATACTTTTATTAAAAAGGTAAAAATAAATAAATAAATCACAAGACAGAAGCGTAATATAAAATTATGATTCCGTTTGCACACACAATTAATTTGATCATATATCAGTTTCTTTCTTTGGGTAGCTGGAAAATGCCGAAATACTTGCACGAATTATGTGCATTTCTGTTAGTATTCCAACGAAGCATCTGGTGTGGTTGATGACTCAAGTGCGACTTCCTCGTAATCTCTCTCCAATGCGGCGAGATCGTCACGCGCCTCTGCAAACTCTCCTTCTTCCATACCTTCCCCAACGTACCAATGAATGAATGCTCGCTTGTGATACATCAGATCGAACTTATAATTTAATTTAGACCAGGCTTCCTCGATAGCTGTTGTGTTCGACAACATTGAGACCGCCCTTTGTACCTGCAACGTATTAATATATTTAATCTTATAATTTCATTTTAAAACTAATTTGTAAATTCGCTAGAAAAACAAAAAGCAGTTTCAAACGATCGAAGTGACTTCAACTTAAGAATTAGTTATATATTAAAGGAACAAGGAAGTTGTACCACCGATGGTACATATTTACGTAATAATTGATACCTTGGCAAGGTCTCCACCAGGCACAACGGTAGGTGGCTGATAATTGATGCCGACTTTGAAACCAGTCGGACACCAATCAACAAAGCGTATGCAACTTTTCCTCTTCATCGCCGCAATCGCGGCGTTCACGTCCTTTGGCACCACTTCCCCGCGATAAAGCAGGCAACATGCCATGTATTTCCCTTCGCGAGGATCGCACTTGACCATTTGATTGGACGCCTCGAAGCATTCGGACGTTATCTCCGCTACGGACATCCCCTCGTGAAAGGCTTTATCCGATGACACCACCGGTGCATATGTCGCCAGTGGAAAATGAATCCTAGGATACGGCACTAGGTTCGTTTGAAATTCCGTTAGGTCTACATTCAGTGCACCATCGAATCTCAGGGAGGCGGTTATCGACGACACCACTTGACTGATAAGACGATTCAGATTCGCGTATGAAGGTCGTTCGATGCCGAGCTTCCGTCTACAAATATCATAAATTGCTTCGTTGTCCACCATAAACGCGCAGTCTGAATGACCGATCGTAGTGTGAGTGGTGAGAACTGCATTGTACGGTTCCACAACGGCGGTAGATACCTGATTTTTTTTTTTTTTTTTTTTTTTTTTTTTTACATAAAAATACTGTGTTACGAGACGTTCCTATTATACACAAGGTAACTATAGAAAGAGAACAATTTCTATGGATTTGTTCATACTTGCGGCGCCGGATATACGGCAAATTCTAACTTGCTCTTTTTCCCGTAATCGTCGGATAGCTTTTGCATAAGTAACGAGGTGAATCCTGACCCGGTGCCCCCTCCAAACGAATGAAAGACGAAGAATCCTTGAAGTCCAGTGCACTGATCCGTCAACCTTCTCACTCGGTCCATTACAGAGTCTATCACTTCTCTACCGATGGAATAATGACCGCGAGCGTAATTGTTCGCGGCATCTTCTTTGCCCGTGATTAATTGTTCAGGATGGTACAATTGCTTGTAACGGCCTATTCTTACTTCGTCTATAGAGAGAATGTTTGGAATATTCGTAATTTTTAACACCACGTTTGTAGCTTCCCGAATTGTTTCAAAGGTTCGTTCTACAAGGTTACAGTTAACATTTCCTTTTTGCGGAAAATTGAACTAACCGACGACTGTGGGCTCTAGGTCGACCATCACAGCGCGCGGTACCATTTTGCCAGAGCTGGTTTCGTTGAAAAAAGTATTGAAACAATCGTTTGTCCCGGACACTTTGTCTGATGGTATCGTTCCATCCGGTTGAATTCCATGTTCGAGACAATACAACTCCCAGCAAGCGTTGCCCATTTGAACACCTGCTTGGCCCACGTGCATCGAAATACACTCGCGCTAGAGCAAGATTCATAACTTCCGTTAACAGATTGACAATTAAATAAAAATAGCCTTGCCGTAATCAAAGAAATCTCTCGCATTGTTTGAAACTTGAAAAATAAACGTAATTCGTCTCGCATTGAACCGAACGTTGTTAAAACAGGCATAGAAACGTGCTTCTGTAACAAAATGCCGTGGATTTCATATTTGTACGTCGTACCATTTTGATTACTTCGTTAGGACACAGTATCTTGAAATGCTATTTTAAATTTTCACGAATTGCCGAGCCGAAAAAACGTTCAAAGATTTTTCTCAATTACGGGGAATTTTGGAACCCTGTCTTCCGCTACCCAGAAAGAAAAATCCTATGACAATTTATTTCAGTTGTCTGGACAACGAAACTGTGCAATGAGAATAGAAAAAAAAAAAAAAAGAGAGAGAGTTGAAAACGTCATGTACATTCGATATTTGATCTTTCTTTTATCGAACATGATCTTAAATGATATATTTTGTATATAGTCTATATAAGCATACAAGTACTTTTTATATACATTAATTTAGAAGCGTGATAAGTTTATCTACAATTACACGATAATACAAGTTTCATAATTTGTAGCATTTATTACGCTGAAATTATTCTCTCTGAAGTATTATCTAGTGATGGTACTTTTTAATAAAATGTACGATGAATATTTTCAGTTATGTTTTTTGAAAAAAGTTCATCTTCTCATACTACGTATGATCTATTATATGATACGAGTAACAAAAGAAGTGTATATATTTTTTTTTTATTACATTAACATAAAGTCCAAAATTAGACATATAATTAAAAATAACTTGTAGGAATGAGTCAATGACCTTGACATTTTCGTCACATCACATCTTCCCACGAACACGCTGTAGTACTCTGTGATCTCGAAAGACTTATGTAATTACGTTCAATCGATCGTGTGCGTGTTTTGCGCACGTGTCATGATTCGTTGAATCACTTCTTAATAGATTTCTTACAGAAGAATCTTAGCCGTCGGTCAAGAGAAACGAAATTATTACGCGTGACTCCTTGACGATGACGCGAAGAATTATTGTTGAATTAAAGCGAATGTAATGCTTCAGAGTGACTCGTGAACTATTCGAATTCTCTAGTGCGGCATGGTTTACTCTCGCGCAAATAGTTGTAGTATATGTAACAGGATCGATCATGGATTCTAGTAAGAAGTATGACAATCCTAATCCAAAATTATCGGCGAATTTTTTTAGTAAATTGATTTTTTGGTGAGTTTTTCATAATAATTCTTCTCAATTGTAACTACTGTTATATTTAAAATATTATTAGCAATGCCTATTAAATACTAATGTTGTTGGTAATAATGAGATTGAATTATATTTAAGGTGGTTGAAACCTCTATTTTGGTATGGTAAGAACCATGATCTTGAGATTAAAGATATCTATAACGTTATGCCAAATGATGTTAGTCAACATCTTGGAGATAAACTTGAAAAGTAAATATTAAACAAGCAAATATATTCATAAGATTAATGTCAGTATCTTTGAACAAACTATGCTTACATTATCAGGAATTGGATTAAAGAAGTTAAGTCGGCAGAAGAAGCAAGTAAAAATCCCAAATTTTTTAATGCTTTAAGAAAAACATTTATGTGGTCATTTGCTTATTATGGAGGATGGCAGTTCTTTTTAGCAGTAGTTTTAAGGTAATAATTTTTCTTCTATATTATTGTTTATACAAGTTATTATAATGCTTATATGATTATAATATCATTGTATAATTTTTAATCATGATATTCTAGAGTTCTTCAACCATATGTATTAGGTCTTCTTATCTGGTACTTTGATCCTAGAGCAACTTCCAGTACTACTGAAGCATACATTTATGCTTCAACTGTTATACTTTTAATCTTATTTGCAGCTTTAGTTGCTCATCATTCTAATTTAGGTTTAATGGAAGTTGGAATGAGAATGAGAATAGCATGTTCCTCTCTAATGTATAGAAAGGTGAAACATAGTATTACTTGGAAATTTGTATTTATCAAGTATTGTTATTTAAAATACCATTATTTACAGATTTTGCGTTTGTCAAAATCCTCTCAAAATGTTACTACCCCTGGACAGATTATAAACTTAATGTCAAATGATGTAGCAAGATTTGAACAGTTGTTTATAACATTGCATTATATTTGGATTTTACCAATCCAAGGTGCTCTGATCACTTTCATGATATGGGAAAGTGTAGGAATTGCATCTTTGGCTGGTGTTTTTCTTATAAGCATCCAAACTATACCTCTTCAAGGTACATATTATTATTTATCAGTATTACAATTCCGTTTGTGCTTTTGCAATAAGAAAGAAAAACTAATTAATGTGATTTTATTTTAGGATATATAGGAAAATTGGTATCAAAGTTAAGATTAAAGATTGCAGTTAGAACAGATGAGAGAGTAAGATTAATGTCAGAAATAATTAGTGGAATTCAAGTTATCAAAATGTATACTTGGGAAAAGCCATTTGAAAAACTTGTTAGCTTTGTTAGAAGGTTTTTTTTCTATACTTTATTATTGTTACACAAGTATCATCAATTATTAAATGTGTTTAAATGCATAATTTTAACTTTTTAGTCAAGAGATAGACGTCCTAACACTTGCATCGTACTTACGAGGTTTTACTTTAGCTACTTTTGTGTTCACTGAACGTACAACGTTATATTTTACTGTTATGGCATATGTACTTCTCGGCAATAGTATATCTGCCGATAAAGTATTCTCGATAGCACAATATTTTAATATTCTTCAACTTACTATGGCGATATTATATCCTATGGCTGTATCAGCTGTTGCAGAGGCTCATGTATCTATTAAGAGGCTTGAAGTGAGATAAATAGTTATTATTGTTTTACTCTATTTAATTCTTATATAATCTTATTTAATTTATAACATGTAAATCAATATTATTCTTTTTAGAAATTTCTTTTATTGAAAGAAAATAGTAACACAATTCTACCACAACAAAACAGTGGAAATGGCAGTATTGTAATGAAAAATATTACAGCATCTTGGACAGAAAACACAATTGCAAATACGTTACATAATGTCAGTATTCAAATAGAACCTGGAAAACTTTATGCTATTGTTGGTTTAGTTGGTGCAGGAAAGGTAATATATTAAGACTTCAATTAATACTCCCATATATCATTTGTAATATCAAATGTTGCTAATCCTCATGTTCATTTTCAGAGTTCGTTTCTTCAATTAATCCTAAAGGAATTGCAACAATCACATGGAGAAATAAAAGTGAATGGTACTGTATCTTATGCTAGTCAAGAAGCGTGGTTATTTTCGGGTACAGTACGCAATAATGTACTTTTTGGACAGACTTATGATAAAGAAAAATATAATGCTGTTGTTAGAGCATGTGCTCTCATTAAAGATTATCAGCAATTTAATTATGGAGACAGAACTTTAGTTGGAGATAGAGGTGCATCACTCAGTGGTGGACAACGAGCAAGAATTAATTTGGCTAGGTACATATTGATTAAAAAAAATATATATCTGTACATCAATAATTTAAAAATTACTCAAATAACTGTTACAACAGGGCTGTATATAGAAAAGCAGATATTTATTTATTAGATGACCCATTATCTGCAGTCGATACTCATGTAGGAAAACATTTATTCAATGAATGCATCAAACATTATCTTCAAGACAAAACAAGAATTCTCGTAACACATCAGGTTCAATATTTAAAAGATTGTGATTACATCATTCTATTGAATAATGTAAGTAGAAATAATCAGAATTGTTATTGTATTATTATGCTATCATTATTAGCACAATATTTATTTTAGGGTAAAATCGAATGTGAAGGTACATTTGCAGAAATTCAAAGCAAACGTACAGATTTTTTACATATGCTTTTAACAGAGGAAAATAAGGGAGATGCAGAAGTCACGGAAATTAATGATAATACTAATGCTGATATATCTATTAATTATGGTAATGGCAAAGACGATGAAGAAGCAGAACCAAAAGAAACTGAAGAATTAATGGCTAAAGGAAACATTTCTAAATCTCTTTATTGGAAATATTTCCGAGCCGGTGGTTCTCTTTTAATGATCCTGATTTTTGTATGCACTTTAATTTTTGGACAGATAGGAAGCAGTGGTTGTGATTATTGGCTTGCTTATTGGTTAATATCTATTATTATATTTTCTTTTTAATGAGAGGTTTTATACGACAATCTCTTCTATTTCATTCTTTTTTAGGACAAAACAAGAAGAAATGAGTATTAAACGTAATAGTATTAATCATACGCTGACAATATTTGAACAAAATCACACAGTTCCGATTTTCCCTGACAGAGATGCAAATAAATTAACAAACGAAACAACTTCATTTGAAATGGATGATTTTAATAATACAATCTCAGACTTATTATCAGTGGACAATAGCAGTTCCGATAATGCTGTTAGTAATTTTATTTCACTTTTATTTTATGCAACAAATAACAATTACTCTCTTGCTTTTTTATTTTATATAGACATGGACTATTAATGCAAGATCCAATTCATATTATCTCAGTCATGAAACTGCTTTGTGGATTTATGGAGGATTCATCATTGCAAGCATAGTACTGACAACAATAAGAAATATCGCATTTTATAAAATATGTATGAACGCTAGTAAAAATCTTCATAATCTAATGTTTTCCACTTTGTTAAAAGCGCCAATGTTATTTTTTGACACACATCCTTCTGGTAAGTATTTAAAATAAAAAATTTTCTAAAAGAGAATGATATAAAATAAAAATAATTGTAATATTAAATATTAGGTCGCATTCTAAATCGTTTCTCGAAAGATGTGGGATCGGTAGACGAAATTTTACCAAGAACTATGATAGAATCTATCCAAATATTTGCAGTAATGGTTGGAATATTAGCTCAAGTGCTTATTATTAATTGGTGGACTGTATTTCCAATGCTTATCATGGGTTTCTTATATTGGCAAATACGAAATATTTATCTTAAAACTGCACAAAATATGAAACGTTTTGAGGGAATTAGTAAGAATCTTGTAATTTATTAGATAAATATTATTTCGAATATTATTAATAATATTATTAACAATTCTCCATATAATTTTAGCGAAAAGTCCTGTTTTTTCCCACGTTAGTTCTTCCTTATTAGGATTAACAACAATTCGTTCCGCTTGTGCGCAAAACATGGTCCGTAAAGAATTCGACGTTCACCAAGATCTTCATACTAGTGCTTATTATTTGACTATAGCAACAAGTACAGCTTTTGGATTTGCATTAGATATCGTATCTATTTGTTTCATTGCTTTTATTACGTATAGCTTCATTGTACTTGACGATGGTAATATATAAATTTATACCGTTATAAAAAAAGTAATTAGCATTGTGCAATTGAAATATCTATTTATATGCTTTCAGGAAATACATTTGCGGGCAATGTAGGATTGGCCTTGTCTCAAGTATTAATCTTATGTGGAATGCTTCAGCATGGAATGCGTCAAACTGCAGAGACAATAGCACAAATGACAAGTGTAGAACGAATTCTACAATTTACACAGCTCGATAAAGAGGGACCATTTGAAAGTGAACCTAATAAGAAACCGTCCGCACACTGGCCTTCTAAAGGAGAAATAAATTTCGATCATTTGTATTTACGTTACGAAGATTCCGCGCCACCAGTTCTTAAAGATTTATGCTTTACCATTAAATCTGGCGAAAAAGTAATTTATTGTTGTTTATCGGCAAAATTAACATACTGTATATTAAAATTAATTATTAAATTTTATATTTTCAGGTAGGAATAGTCGGTCGTACTGGTGCCGGCAAAACCTCTTTAATATCAGCTTTGTTTCGTTTGACCAAACTTGAAGGTGCTATCTACATAGATAAATTGGATACAAAGCAAATAGGTCTTCATGAATTACGGCGGAAAATTTCGATTATCCCACAAGAGCCTGTATTATTCTCAGCGACGTTGCGAGACAATCTCGATCCATTTCATGATTTTGATGATATTAGTCTTTGGGCTGCTCTCGAGGATGTAGAACTAAAATCAAGTGTTTCTTCTTTAGATTATAATGTCGATCAAGGTGGCGTTAATTTCAGCGTTGGGCAAAGACAGCTTCTCTGTCTAGCTCGAGCAATTTTAAGAAATAATAGGATTCTTCTTCTTGATGAAGCTACGGCCAATGTCGACCCTACAACTGATGCTTTAATACAAAAGACTATTCGACAAAAATTTAAGAATTGTACAGTATTAACCATAGCACATAGATTAAATACAATTATGGATAGCGACAAAGTGCTAGTTATGGATTATGGAAAAGCTATTGAATTTGATCACCCATATGTTCTACTCAAAAATGAGCAAGGCCACTTCACTAGTATGGTTAAAGAAACTGGAAAAGTGATGTTTGAACAACTTAAGAAAGTTGCAGAAAAGGTATAATGATATTTTCTCTTGTTCATAATATTCATTTATAGTAATCTATATATAAATCCTTATCAAATTTTAGGCTTATAACGAAGTTTATAGTAATACAGAATTACAGTCACTACGAGTTCTCAATGGTGAGACAGTCAAAGATAATTAGAATTTTGGTAAATACCAATATTATTCCTACTTAAATGACTTACTTATGTACCATGTACTTCTTGTAATCAAAACTTTTTATGCGAATTATACACAATATTTTATGTAATTTTTTCAAATGCTGCATCTATACACAAGTACTATAAAGCATTGTACTTCATATATAATATTTTTTATATTATTTGAATATTTTATAATACAAAATATATTTTTTACAGTGTAGAAATCTATATGAAACAAAATGTGAATTTAATGTACAATTATTTTTTAATAAAATATATATATATGTATGTATATATATACATACAAAAATATATATATATACATGTTATAAAAAAATATATATATATACTGTTAAATATATATATATATACTGTTCCAAAATTTGTTTACAATATTTTATAACTGATTAATCATATAAATCTATTATAAGAATATATAAGTTTTATATATTGTAAGTAATAAGATTTCATTGTATGATAATGACTATAAAAAATAGATTTCTTTATTCACATTATTCAGTTATATAAAATATCAAATCAATTTAACAGCACCACTTTTAACTAAATCAGCTACAGCACTGTATTGTATAATATGTTGGGAGCCTGGTTCAAGATCTATTTCTTCGTCCATTGAACCAGGAACTATGATTCCATTAATTCTATCGTTAGCTCTTAAGAATACGTACGCCTGTAGATTAGGTTTTACAGTTAGTGTATCAACTTCAAATGTCTGAAAATTTCCAGGCATGTGTTGCAGAGCAATTGTTTTAAAGAGCATCTCAATATTTGCAAGGAACTCCTTCGCAAATTGAAGCTCTGCAACCGTTAAATAACATTCCTCGGAAGATCTAGTCGCTTCTTGAGAAAGTATATGAATGGTGTATTTTTCAATTTTTTCTAACCGGGCTCTGAGGTAATTAGTTATCACATACTTGATCCTATCCAACTCCATTCTGTGTATCATCAATCTCAGATCTTCTTTGTCTAACCTCTTCATGTTCTCTTCCATGTGCGTGATTTGTTGCAGCATACAGTCAACCAAATCAGAGCGGTGTGGTAAAATCTCAGGTGCGAATTTCTCGTTCAGCCAGGCTTCCTCTATTGCTAATAAAACACTTTGAGCAGTTACTTCCTCCTCTTCCTGAACATCGTCCTCTGCTGTCATTTGCACGTCTCCATTATTTTCCATATTTGAGATCTCGCACAAGAAGTTATTTGTTATTAAAAATTTTTCAGTACTGCTCCAGCACTTTAATACGATAACTAAATACCATACGATATATATCGCTTAACCACTTAATAGGGTACAAGAAATCATTGTATCTTAACCCCTAAAACACGAATCATGAGATCCAACAGCGCGATTTATCGGGACTGGTTATGTAGCAAGAGATCGCCAGGCTGCATATTTCGAAGGTTACCATATGTACTAAAAATTGCAAATTATATATGTATACGAGAAAAAATAGTAAACGAGACAAATATTGTTACTTATTTCTGTACTGCATTTATTATATAAAATTGTTCATCTATAAAGTACGTATATAGCAAATACTAAATAAGGTTGAATGCAACAAGAATTTTCTTCTCGCTTTGCTACGTCTTACGGATTAGTTACTAAGACAATTATTATTTTATGATGAATACAGACTATCCTGCGATTATGTGCATTATTAAATTTGGCGGATTTGAAGTAACCCGGTCGTAAGAACGAGGAAGTTAACTACGCACCATGTGACTAAATTCGATATTTCTCGTTATTTAAACTCGAACCGCGAGATGAGTTTTTAACCTCGTCGAGCTTATACGTTCCAAAATATCACTAAAACGTAGAGGATTCGATAGAATTTTACTCGATACACAAAAGGTAGTAAAGTTTCGTCGAATTCTCATGATGTTGATGAATTCACGAAAAAAAAAAAAGAAAAAAACAATCAATTCTCGGGAAATTCGCGCGAAATATCGAAAGATCTAAACGGCCAGAGGTAAATAAGAAGTGTACGATACATACGCTGTCATAATAAGCTTCTTACAGCATGAAACCATATTAAAGTCTACATAAAACTTATACAGATCTCGAAATCGCAGGTCTATCGATATATATATACGCCTGAATGTTTCATTTCGAATCGGGAGGAACGGACGAGGAAGGGAAGACGAACGGGTGGCGCTCGTTTCTTTCTTCGAATGTGTTTGAACAATTTCAAGAAGCCGAAGGCAACGATTACCGTAGGATTATGGTTCGAAATTGAATATAAAACAGTATAAAACGATGTTAGATGAAGGGTACCAAAGGATAGATGTTCTATTCCTATTTCAGCCTCGTAAGGTTTCTGTGTGCGGCGCTGAAGATACACCAAGGTATTCTTAAATCCTCGTTAACTTAATAAAGTCCTTCTTAAGACTGTTTACCGTCTTAGATCATAACAACATATAGAAAACTAGACGTAAGGGTACATATGGCTGGGTCGAAGCAAGAGGTTGCTTCATATTTAAACAGAAGTCGAACGGCGCTGACACGAGCCGCATCCAACAGTGGACCTAACAGCCTTCCTACATCCTTCTGTTAAATTCTTCAAAAAAACCTTCCAACCGAAATCAAACTGAGACGTGTGCTTGGATTAGTTCGTTCTATCACGATTTTCTCCAAGTAGCTTAAAGGTGAGACGTAGAGGCGGTGTGACGATGTTTCGATTTCACTTCGTGCGCTGTTTGAACGAACCTGGTGTATTAAAAATTTTTCTGCACTGTTGCCGTTTTATCAGATAGTTTTCCTTTTAAACACAACACGGATTTAGATAGTTGGTTATTTTGTTCAAATGTCTAAGCTTGATGGAAGTTTCTTTGTTGAAGAGATTGAGAACAAATTAAAGAGATAAGGCAGTTCGAATAAATCTTCAGCTTTCTTTTTGTTAGTTTTTCTTTTTGACACTGTGTAATTTACTTTAAGTACAAACAAATGATTTGCTACAACGCGCACTTGTTACAAGAATACTAATAATACTAATAATATCGCGAAGTTACGGTCGACCGTAGATTGGATAATAGAGGCTCAGCTATGAGTTAAATAGATACAAACGAAGTGCAGATAAAATTCTACTTATTGTTGAATGACAACTTTAAAGCACTAGTACGAACGTTTAAATAATCAAAAGAAAAAAAAGAGGGAGAAGAGAGAAAAGAGGGCATGCAGTCTTAAAGCAGTCGTTTGAACATTTTACAGAGTCAAGATGCTTCCTGTTTCGGGACCCAGCTACGAAGCCTACTCATATGGAGGTTCAAAGTTTGGAAATCAAACGGTGGTTGACAAGGTTCCACCCGATATGCTCCATCTAATCGACGCCCACTGGTATCAGTACCCACCTCTAAATCCAATGTGGCATGGAATCCTTGGATTTGTGATAGGTTTGCTTGGTTTCGTCTCAGTTTCGGGAAACGGCATGGTCGTCTATATATTTCTTTCGACAAAGAGCCTTCGTACGCCAAGCAATTTGTTCGTAATCAATCTTGCCATCAGCGATTTCTGTATGATGTTGTTCATGTCTCCACCTATGGTGCGTAAAACAAGCTTTTACTTTTATTCTATTCAATCACTGAGACAGCTCGGATCGGCTATGAAAATGATAATGCCAACTTAAACGTGTAGTAATAAAATTCGATACGATTCGCTGTTCGATAGGTGATCAGTTGTTACTACGAGACATGGGTACTTGGACCTCTCTTCTGTCAAATTTACGCGATGTTGGGCTCGTTGTTCGGATGTGGCTCCATATGGACAATGACGATGATTGCGTTCGATAGATACAATGTGATCGTTAAAGGTTTATCCGGTAAGCCATTAACCATTAACGGAGCTCTCCTCCGTATACTGGGCATATGGGGGTTCTCTCTGATTTGGACGATCGCGCCTATGTTAGGCTGGAATAGGTAAATCGCTTAATCGTGATAACGTTCTTGTTGTCGATAAATCTTATTGACATTTCATTCGAAAGTTGATTACGAATAACAAAATGTACGATTCTCCCCTTTAGATATGTACCAGAGGGTAACATGACCGCATGTGGTACCGATTACTTCAGCAGAGACATAGTGTCTGTTTCTTACATTATATTATACAGCATCTGGGTTTACTTCATTCCGCTGTCCCTTATTATCGGGAGTTACTGGTACATCATCCAAGCGGTAGCTGCCCATGAGAAGAATATGCGCGAACAAGCCAAAAAGATGAACGTGGCATCTCTCCGATCATCCGAAAATCAAAATACTAGCGCGGAGTGTAAATTGGCGAAAGTATGAACACCTAATTTCTAACGCAGTGAATACTTAATTTTTAATTCTCTTTCATTTGTAACGAAATGTTTTATAATAATTCTAGGTTGCCCTTATGACAATCTCTTTATGGTTCATGGCTTGGACTCCATATCTGGTCATCAACTGGTCTGGCATCTTCAATCTTGTTAAAATCAGTCCGCTTTTCACCATCTGGGGCTCTCTGTTCGCCAAAGCCAACGCAGTTTACAACCCAATCGTTTATGGAATTAGGTAGATATGATTTCATAAATCTGAATGAATATGAAATTATTTAAACGTAATATAAAATTTTATTATCCTTTTTTTTCTCAGCCATCCGAAGTACCGAGCTGCATTGTTCGCGAAATTCCCATCATTGGCATGCGCCGCTGAACCAGCACCAGCAACAGACGCTACATCAACCGTTTCCGGTACAACTACTGTTGCGGACAGCGAAAAATCCAACGCGTAAAAAAAGAATATGCTACGGCTACACCTTACTTTTATTTGATCCATGCATAACGCAGAAGATCAGGAATTAACAATGAGTATAGATTAAAATATACCTCATTAGGTAAGGATAACAGCAAGTTTTATTACAGACACGATTTGTAAATATTAACATCCGACATAACAAATCTTTTTTATCGATACCAAAAATATTAATGCGGTCAATCAAATATCCAAAATTAATGCACTTTAAATCGAATGTGTTCAAACATTCAGAAATACAGTCTAACAAGTTGCACATCTGATTCGGTGAAGAACAACTCCAGTATACGAAATTATTGTATACGTAATATTGAATGAACAATATTTGAATCGCCTGTAACTGTATGTATGATTTGCATTTCACCACAATGCAAATCATTTTACATCAATTCATAGGTATGATTTCAATTTTGTACATTTATTGCGTAACAATATACATGGTCACTTTGGTATAGCAGGTACCAGCTCTATGTTTACTAGATTAGTAAGCACATCACATTACTATGAAATATGGAGGGAGCATCTGTATCTTAATTTTATAAGAATAAATAAATTCTGCAAGCAGCTGTATCCCTTTCATTAATCCCTATAAAAGTGCGATCACTTCCTTAAATTAATTTTCAAATAACATTTAATTTACAAAAGATTCTGCATATTTACAAGAAAATAGAAAGACATTTAACTTTTTGCTTCGTTTTATGAGTTTCCACCACCTTCCGAAGGTTTCTCTCCTCCAGCGGCTTGTTCTTCCGTTGAACCACATACTAAAAATGGTAGCTTTTCCTTTAGCGCAGCTCTGTATTTTGGATGACTGTACGGCACATTTAAAAAATATATTGTTAACATTATTTTTTTATTCATTGTTTTTTATTAAAACAACACTAATGATCTTGTATGTATTGAATATGTACCTAACTCCATAAACAATCGGATTATATATCGCATTCGCTTTTGCAAAAAGTGAACCCCATATGGTAAAAAGGGGTGTAATCAGAGATCGATTAAATATTCCAATGTAATTGATCACGAGATACGGTGTCCATGCCATAAACCACAGCGATATCGTCGTTAATGCTACCTAAAAAATATGCGTGTATGTTTTTATAGAATTAAAAGTAATACTTTAAGATAAATAATAATACGGTACCTTTGCTAATTTTGCTTCAGCACTAGGACCACCTTGATTTTCTCCAGACCGCAAAGAAGCAACATTCATTTTCTTTGCTTGTTCTCTCATCCCTTTTTCATGTGCTGCGACAGTCTATAAAATAATAATAAATTTATATATATATATATAAATACACTAAACTAACATAATTTTGAAATACTTACTGAGACAATAAAGTAATAACTGTAAATAATGGTAAATAATGGAGTGTAATAAACAAAAACAGAATAAACCAATATGTATGACTTAGAACTCCAATCTTGCGTTAAATAATCTGTTCCACATGCTGTCATATTACCCTCTGGAACATATCTAATTTATAAATGCAGTATATTAATAATTATTATATTTCAGATACGTTGTATAATAATCAAAAATTATGTAAAATATAAAAATATATTTATTATAGTCAAAATATTACCTATTCCACCCTACTAGAGGTAAGATTGTCCATATTGAACCAAAAGACCAAATACCTAAAATTTGAACGATAGCTCTTTTGATGGTAAGTGGAGTTCCAGACATTCCCTAAGAATATTTTACTTTTTTGTAATATTATTGTAATTATTAATATATCTATTTATATATATGTGCAGGTGCATATATACCTTCACTATAACATTATACCTATCTAAAGCAATAGCTGTCATGGTCCATATAGAAGCACATCCACATAATGATCCAACCATTGCATAAATATCACACATTAAGGTACCTAATAAAAATTATCAAATTAAAACACAAAAGTTTTGTGTCTTTCTATAATTGTATAATCAAAATTTCTTACCAAGAACCCATGTTTCATAGAAACAACAAATTACCATAGGAGGACACATAAAACCCATCATAATGAAATCGGAAAAAGCAAGATTTACTACAAGAAGATTACTTGGTGTTCTTAGAGCGGGTGTCATTATAAATACATAAACCACTACACCATTTCCACACCATCCTATAATACCTAATATTATCATAACTAAGCCTAAGATTTTATGCCATAATGGATGCAACGGCGGAAACTGATACCTATATTTTGAAATTAAAAAAAAATAACATTAACATTCATTAGATTATTACATTAAAAATAATAAATGAATAATAAATTAACAATAAAAAATAATAAATTACCAATATGGATCAATCAAATGCAATATATCTTCAGGTACTTTACTAACAACTGTTTGATTATTGAAACGCATCAATTGCCTTGCAAAATGTGGTCCAGTAGTAGTTGCTAGGGTGGAAATGTTTAAAGGCATGGCTCCAATAAAACAAGGAATTGTTGTATTGAACGTATCCATTAAAAACTGATTTTTACAAACAAAATTCAAATTCACACTAAACTAAAATTTTGTATAACACAGTCCCCTTTTACTATTCACATTCTATAACTGCAACTGTAACCAGAAGTTCTAAAACATCCTCTTTTATATGCTTGATAAAGTAAGATCCAATAAAGTCATCCAATAAAATATTCAAATGAATTCATCTACAATCCTAATAAATGCATTTGTATTGCTCTTACATAGGTTTTAGTGTAGTATGACGTATGAATAGTACCGTCATTTTAAATTTAGCATAATCTGATCAAAGTGAAACATTATGTATGCTCTTAAATATAAATTGGAATAATCAATATCGATTCAGTTATCACATGATGACATATTATAAATGTAATTAAAAAGAAAATAACTTAGATATATTCAATGTATATAATTTATATATTTTATTGTATTTATACACTTAATTAATAGTACAGTATTATTATTTTATTGCTCTTGAAAGTCTACGAATGTGCTGACTGTAACCTTCTTGAAGAGCCTCTTCTAATTGTTGCGTTATGTGTGCTAGATTAACAGGGTCAGTTTGAAGTAATACATGCTCAATGTTCTCATCCTTGTCAGAATTCTTTATTGATAAATCCAATGTAATAAGTGGGGCAACTTGTTTCAACAATGCTCTTGAAGCGATCTATAAAAAGGTGCATCGTATACAATATAAAACTCTGAGGATACAAAATTCAAAGACAAAATAATATAATACCTGCACTTCAAATCTCCATTCCATATCATGGTATTCTGGCAATTTAAATCCAATATCTTTGAGTGTATTTGATATTTCATCTTTTTTAACATTATATAATTTACTTAATATAACTTCTTGTTGTTCCGAGAAACCTAAAGATATTATTGAATCTCTAAAATCCTCAGAATTTAACTGGAAAAATTACATATTTGTTAAATGATATCGTATAAATTAAGAGGAGTACAAGTAAAATGATATGTTATATACCTTATATCTACAGCTTTCTATTAATAAATTAACAAGTCCTTCCACCGAATTCTTAATTACGCTTACTTCAACATCCAATTTTTCTAAAAAAATAATTCAACAACAACATTAGACGTTTTTTTTCCAATTATTACAATATTTCTACTTACGAGCTGCTGCGTTATATAATTTAGTATTTGGTCCTTTCTGTAAATAATCTAGAGCCAACTTACAAAAATCCTGTAAAACTGAAAAAGAATACGTGATTATTATTTTAAAATATATAAATAAAGCAACAATAAAAATGATAATTTTACATACCTTGCGGTGTATGCCCCGTAAGAAGTAATACATGTTTTTTATGATCTGGCTTTAATGTTAATAACATTATGTTACTTTCTATAAAAAGACACTGTGTAATTGTTTATATTAAATTTGATATGTGAATAACGGAATTGTCAATCATAAAACTTATAAGCGATGAACGAACCGCCATATTTCTGTGGAAAATCGCCGCATGTCACATGCTTTCACTTTCGAGATATTATCATTTAAAGTTCATAACCAGTTTTTCTTATTAGCAATACCTTGCTCTTTTTTAACGGTATGAATCTGTATTTATTTTCATTCATTCTTTCGTTATAAATATATATGCTCTATAATCCGTTATTGCATAAACAAATTTTTTAAAATTGTGATATTTGGCATCTTTTTTTTACAGTTACAGATTTATAAATGTAGTACTTCACATTTATATTCTTGGATTATGAAAGAAATATAAAAAGCATCAAACTTTTTATTTATATTAAATACATTACAAATTTTGACTAGAATAAATTTTACAATATATTACACAATACATAGGAATATACCATATATTCTATAAATATTTAATACACACACAAATAACACTAGGTTAAATAATTTTAATAGCTTTCCAATATTATTACAATTTTATTTTCAAGCTTTAAAATAACTGTAAGTGCATTAGCGTAAATAAAATAATATGAAAGCTTCACAAAAAATTTATTAACAAATTTAATCAGGAATAAAGATAGTGATATTTATGGTTACATGATATTTCTTATTTTGTGATATTGATATAACAAGCGACAACATATAAGTTCTTTATATATAAAATTATGCTTTTGGTTGAGACAGGGACGCTTTCATTTGGGCTTGTTGGAACATCTGTTGATATTTCTCCAATGTTTCACAATGTGTATCTTGTTTTTTATCTAATGTAGTTATTAGCTCGTCTACTCTTTTCCTACAATTACAATGTAATTAATAATCAATTTTGATTTTCTTACATGCATGATATTTTTGTATCTAATGATTTACAATTCAGAGGTGATATATTCCATTCGCTTAGCAACATTTTGCTTAGCTTCTTCCACATCTTGCTTTATGAGAACTGGTCCAATTAATTTAAAAACATCATCCTCTGGTTTCAAAAGATCTAACTCTTTTTTAACTGCAATATTCTCATTTAATTGTCCATCCAGCTGTCGTCTTTGATTCAATGCTTTGTGGTAATCTGATACAAACAGACTCTATGTATAACAGGATATTTAATTAATTACAATAAAATTGCACAAAATATATTAATATATAGAAATTAATATAATACCTTTTTGAACCTGCTTATATTTGTCTATCTCTGTTTTCAAATTTTTTTGAATTTCTTCTGTCATATTTGTCTGAAAAAAGAAATGTATTAATAAGAAAAAGGTTATATGATAAGAAGGTTAAGTAAAACATAAGTATCATATAATACTTTGCATATTAAATGCATTTTATTATAAAAACGTAAATAAACACCATTTTTTTTTAATATGCGAATTGCAAATTATAATTGTCCGAAGTTTTTACTTTTTATTTTAAAAATATTTTACCATGTCAGAATAGTAATGTTTTAAACACTTTCTCAGTGACTATACGATAGATATTTGCTAGTAAAGAATAAAAAACGTAGGAAATTTTATTATATAGATATTCCTTTTAATTGAATTTCTTTAATCTATTTTGTTTCAATCTTCGCAAATGTTGGCTAATTTAAACGTGTATTCGTTATATGACACATCCATAAACATCATAGGGATGTACAAATTAGGAAAAATCGACTGTGTGAAGTAACTAAATAACTTTTTCATTGCGTTATGAATTAACTTTATTCAAAACAACGTGATTTTTAACATTTAAAAATCACATATTTTTATAAAATATAAAGAAATTAGAAAAATGAGAGAATATAATAAGATTTCAAGTATGTAGTTAGATTGTGTAATTCATCAATCTTTCAAAAATCTGATTTAAAATCCGATACTGATATTCCAAATACTAAAATTTTGCAAGATGTAGTTATAAACTCTATTTAAAAATTAAAGAATCTTATATTCTTCTTTTTCTTTTCTTTCAAAGATGCAACAAAGATTGGAATTATTGGATTAAATATAGCTAAAAAGATATCAATATAGGATATATCAGGTGAATTTGAGAAAAATGCAAAATTATTTTATATTTCATATTTTGTTGATAAAATCAATTGTATAATCAAATTAATAAATATTTTTTCAATATTACATAATTTTCATTGCTTTAAATTAAATCTCTATACTACCTTTTGTAATGCTCGCTAGATGGTAATACAGTAAGTGACTCAAATTTCTCTTCTACGATATGACATCTATATGAAATTATTAAATTTGTATGTTGTATGTCGACAACTTGTTTTCATATAACCAGGAAAGATGGAAACGATCCTAGAACAACAACGGCGTTATCATGAAGAAAGAGAAAGGTTAATGGATGCAATGGTGAAAGAGATGCTTTACAAAAAACCAGGACATAGAGAGAGTATAAATTCGGAACATCGGTTAAAAATGTTACTCGATCAGTACATGGATAGTACATCGCACTTGCAGGATTTGTACGAAGATAAAGATGGTCAAAGAAAAGAAGAAGTAAGTTAAATATAGTTTATTTATTGATAGTTTATTTACAATTGAATAATTAAATCTTTATTGTTTAGGTACAAGCACTTTCTGGACCAAACGAATTTTCTGAATTTTACTCAAGATTGAAATCTATAAAAGAGTTCTATCGTCGACATCCTAATGAAATAAGCATTCCAATGTCTGTGGAATTTGAGGAACTAGCTAAAATGAGGGAAAATCCAACGGAGGAGTTATCAAATCTTGTTGAATTTACAGATGAGGAGGGATATGGGAAATATCTTGATCTCCACGAATGTTATGAAAAGTACATTAATCTCAAAGGCATTGAAAAGATAGATTATATTATGTATTTATCAACTTTTGATCATCTGTTTGACATACCAAGAGAAAGGAAAAATGCTGAATATCAAAAATATGTGGAATCTCTGTTGGATTATTTAACTGATTATTTAAGTAGAGTTAGGCCTTTACTTGATATAAATGCAGAATTGGAAGAGGCGAACAAAGAGTTTGAAACACAATGGGAAAACAATACATTTCCAGGATGGCCAAAGGAAACTGGTAGTGCTCTGACTCACGTGGGTGCTCATTTGGAACTTTCTGCCTTTTCTTCGTGGGAAGAGCTTGCATCGCTTGGTTTAGACAGATTAAAGTCTGCGTTAATGGCCTTGGGTTTAAAATGTGGTGGTACGTTAGAAGAGAGGGCTCAAAGACTTTTCAGTACAAAGGGGGAAGCATCACTGGATCCGAATTTATTAGCTAAGAATAACAGAAATAGAAAGTCTGGGAAAGGAAGAAATTCTGAAAAGCAGAAAGAAATTGCACATTTGGAAGCTCATGTTTACAAACTTGCAGAATTGGTATCGACCCAACGTGTAGCTACAAAAGAGAATGTTCAAAGAAAACAAGCTAGAACAGAAGGTGAAAGAGGAGATTCTGATGCTGAAGCTAGTGCTAGTGAGTCTGAAGAAGAGGATGATAACGAAGTCCCTTATAATCCTAAAAACCTTCCCCTTGGTTGGGATGGTAAACCTATACCATACTGGTTATACAAATTACATGGCTTGAATATTAGTTACAATTGTGAAATATGTGGAAATTTCACATACAAAGGACCAAAAGCTTTCCAGAGACACTTTGCAGAATGGAGGCATGCGCATGGTATGCGCTGTCTTGGTATTCCAAATACTGCACATTTTGCTAATGTAACACAAATAGAAGATGCCTTAGCCCTATGGGAAAAATTGAAAGCTCAGAAACAAGCGGAACGTTGGCAGCCAGAGCAAGAAGAAGAATTTGAAGATTCTCTTGGAAATGTTGTTAATCGTAAAACATATGAAGATTTAAAAAGACAAGGTCTTTTATAACAATATTTCAGCACATTAGAATATCCCATACATCTCAATTGTTTATTTATTATATGTCTATTATAATCCATAGTAATATCATTTGTAATATTATGTATATTAAAATCAATTTAATAAATATCTTTATAAGAACTCAAAGCAGCATTTTTAAAATATTGTAATATATGTTCATTATTTGTTTTATGTACACATGTAAATAAAGTTTAATAAAAATTAATTTTTTTAAAAATAAAATTTTTAAGAATTATAAAAATATTGCAAAAATATTCAAATATTATATTACTACAAAAAAATTTCAATTTAATTTTATTTTAGATTTTAAAATCTATGCTTTTTAACATTAAAATCGTTTAATTTTTCAAATTAATGTTTTTGAATTTATATTCAACAACTAAATGTCCGTTTATAAACCAGGGACTTTGAGGTTCTTTACAAATTTTTCTGACCAATGAGAATGCAGTAATTTTATACCCAGAAATTCTAGAGTATATGGTTCATCGTTTTCTAGAGATGAATACCTCTTTTAATGTCCTATAACGTAACGTACTTTGCTACAGTAATTTTTGCGATCTTGCGAAGAAAATATTTTAAGTTATTGACAATTTCTTTTTCGGCTTATTGTTAACAAGATTAGTAAACCACGATTCAAAGAAAAATCAAGCAATTCTATGAGCATACACTTTTAAATGTAACTTGTTATTATATTACGTTCGGTTCGATCGAAAGCACGATGTTTCATCGACGTGATTAAAACCACGTGCTTCGAGAGACCGACCGTTTTTATAAGATGTAATATATAATGTGAGCATTTTATTGAAACAGAATTGCTGTTGTATTAATTTGGATTAATTATCTTAACAATTATTCTTTCTTTGTAAAAGAAATAATTATAATCGGTTTATAAACGAATATTAATCAGAGAAGAAAAATTCTTGCTATCATTGTAAAACGGTATGCTGAAACAGAATGACGGAGTTCGTAGAAGGTTGGTTACTCGGACATACTTTGGGAGAAGGTGCTTACGGCGAGTAAGTTCCTATATTTTAAATTTATACAAAATTAACTCCTATTTTAGATTAATAAAATGTTTTTGTATTTCAGAATATTGAAAATATTCTTTCTGAAAGGTCTTTTACTACTATCTAATTTCGTTTTTTATTTTCAGGGTAAAAATGGTTGTAAATAAAACTACAGGTGTGGCAGTTGCTATGAAAATGATAGATTTAATAAAGCACCCACATGCCCAAAAATCTGTTCGTAAAGAAACTACAATTCACCGTATGCTCTCTAATCCTCACATTATACGATACTTTGGGAAACGTAGTGAACCCAATATGGAATACATATTTTTAGAATATGCGTCAGGTGGAGAACTTTTTGATAAGATTGGTGAGATATCAGATTAATTATGCAAGACAAAACTTAAAAAATTATAGTATTATGAGATTTTTGTTTGATTCAAAATAGAACCAGATATTGGTATGCCAGTTTGCCAAGCACAGAGGTATTTCAAACAATTAATCTCTGCTGTAGAATATCTTCACAACAAAGGTATTGCGCACAGAGATTTGAAACCAGAAAATTTGTTATTAGATGAACATGATAATTTGAAAGTTTCTGATTTTGGTATGGCAACAGTATATCGTTTACATGGCAAAGAACGTTGTTTAGAAAACAAATGTGGAACATTACCATATGTAGCTCCTGAAGTGTTATCGGGTTATTATCGTGCAGAACCAGCTGATACATGGTCATGTGGTATAATTCTTGTAGCTTTACTAAGTGGAGGTAAAGTTTATGGCAAAATTTACTTTAAATTATAAAATATTATTTGTCTGAATGGTAAATTTCAATTAATACTAACATGTGAACATCTTTAACTAACTAATGTATAAGTAGTTCAAAATATTTCATTGTTCAAATGTATATTACATTGTATAAATTGTTGATATGGATGATAATCCCTAATTTGTAAAATGCAGACCATAAAATGTGATCCTTAGTGTGGTGGTTTAAGTCTAATGTATAACTTACATTTCTTAGTTTTTAACTGGTCCATATCTGAACTATAGAACTGCCTTGGGATCAGTCCTTGGCAGAATGTCCGCAGTATAAGGCATGGAGAGATAGAAAATACATGTCTATTAAGCCATGGCGAAAATTGGATAATTTTTCACTGTCTTTGATAAAAAATATTCTTATGCACTCACCAGAAAACAGATTTACTATAAAGGATATTAAACAACATAGATGGTTCATCAAAAATTTCGAGGAAGGTATGCATCGATTTGTATATATAAGCTATTGTATGTTTATGTTTGAATGTGTAAATCTTCTACAAAGCTTCAATATGGGTATGATAAAACAAATATTTACTTAGTCAGGTACTGAGTGACTCTGAGTACATATTAAATTACTCAAAGCAGCTTGGTACCTAACTGAGTGGATATTAAATACAACTTCTGATGTATGAAGTAAGTATATAATAATCCGGTTTTTAATTGTTATTAGATATTAAATAAATACATTAAAATATAATCAATATCATAAGTTTTCAAGATAATCAAAGCTTTTGCCTTTACTTTGGTAATACAGCTCTATGATTTTAATTAAGGATCATAAAGCTAGATTACCAAAGCAAAGAGCACTAGCATTATGCATCCAAATAGAATATTAACTATTTCGGTTGGCATATGTATTTATGCATATACATACATGTACATACATATGTATATTTCATACAATATGTTATTATTGTCAATTGTTCTTTGTATTTTTATGATACAATTTTGAATAATGTGAGACATAAATTATAAACAAATATAAAACGGTAGTCAATAAAATTAAAATTCTGTATAATAGCTGGGAGTATAGAAGGATATGTTCGATCTGATGAAATTGATTCGAAGCAAATACTACAAGATGAAAAGTTAGCAAGATTCTGTCTATCACAACCAGAATTACCTGCAATAGAAAACGCTAATCCAGTACAAATTAACTTGGAAGAACGACCTGGATTTTCATTCTCGCAACCTGCGTATATAGAAGATTTATTGTTATGCACACAAGTACAAAATAAACCATTTACTCAAGCAAGTCAGGTAGTACATATTTTAAACGACTAATGGAATTTACATTTCATCTTTCATAATTTAATTTTATGTTTACAGCAAACTACTTTCCAGCGATTAGTACGACGTATGACAAGATTTTTTGTTAAAACCGAGCTGAAATCAACTATGGAACGTTTACTAAATTGTCTAAAGAATGAAAATTATACGTGTCGAATTAATAATGTTGGCATAGTAAGTTATAAAATTATCATTTAAGAATATTGAGAATATTATAGTATCAATTATAAACAACTCATAATTTACGCGATTATCTTTTTGCAGATCACTGTAATAGCAGTCGATAGAAGAAAGATGCCTTTAGTCTTTAAAGCAAATACTGTTGAAATGGATGGAAAGACATTAGTTGATTTTCGATTGTCTAAAGGCTGTGGTCTAGAATTTAAACGAACATTCATAAAAATTAAATCTTTACTAGACGATATTATATTAAACAGGCCTATTTTATGATCTATTGTTGAATGCATGCCTTAATATTGTACACAATTACATTTTTTAATAAATTTTCTATATCTTTCTAAAAATATTTTTTTATTCCTTTTTGTATGTTTATTTTTTTAATTTTTACTCTTTTATTCAATTGTTCAATAACTAAATGAAATACATACATATAAACTAAAGATGATTATGTATATTTTTATGAATATTCATAAATTTTTGGTTTCCTTCTATCAAAAACCGTACATGCCGACAGAGATGTTTCAAATGTTTCTTAACCTCAATTTTTAAGTGTTACTATGGTGTTCTTTTTACACTGCATCATATTTATAATTACTAGTGTAATTGTATTTATGTTTTCTAGCTATCTTAATTTTACATATTTTTTTGATATTTATAAACAATGGTATTTTAATGACATTAATGATTTCCAATTGTACGATTTTATTATTGGTAAGTATCATATAAACATGTATATTTTCTATATATATTTTATAATAAATAATTTAAATATAATTATGAACATACATGTAAAAATTAATTAAAAGAAAAAAATAAATCTGGTAAAGTTAAAAATATTATTTTCCTATTCAGTTGGAGCTGGTACTGCAGGTGCAACTTTAACTGCAAGATTAACTGAAGATGGATATAAAATATTGTTACTGGAAGCTGGAGGAGCTGCACCACCTTTTTCGGATATTCCATTGTTAGCTCCTCTTATTCAAAATACTCCATATGACTGGCAATACATTACTGTACCACAACAGAATGCTTGCAAGGGTTTAAAGAATAATGTATAATATGTAATTAGTAATTACAATGTTATTAAAACATGTTATTAAAATTTTTTTACAATTGCTAATAGCAAAGCAAGTGGCCAATGGGTAAAATCTTTGGTGGAACTAGTAGATTAAATTATATGCTCTATGTACGAGGACATCCCTTGGATTATGATTGGTTTCCAAATTTGATTGGTAATTAATAAAGCTTATTATTAGTCTGTATTTACTATTGTAATTTTAAAATATTTTCAGAACCTATTAAAAGAAATAATACAATGCATATAAGTGATTTGGAATGGAATACTGGTCTTGCTGATATAATTTTAAAAGGATTGCAGGAATTGAATCAAGATATTGGCAATATCAATGATAATTTCAAAAATGGTAATTATTAAGCAAGAAATAAAAGATATTTGTGATTTGATTGTTTGATTGATTTAGGTTTCATGAAAGCACAATTATTTATGGAAAATGGGAAACGGTGGAGCACAGATAAATTATTATATAAATATTTAAAAAATAAGCTGACCATTATTACTCATGCTCATGTTGAGAAAGTAAGTTTAAAGTCAAATTTGTAATAATTCCAATTTTCATATTGTCAATATAAATTATTTTAAGGTGTTAATGGAATCAAACAGAGCAATAGGAGTGCAGTTTATTGCATTAAATAAGACATTTAAAGCAATTGCAAAAAGAGATGTCATTCTCTGTGCTGGTGCAATTGGTACACCAAAAATATTAATGCTTTCTGGTATTGGGCCAAAAAAACATTTGGAAGATTTAAAAGTAAAATTTACTTTTTAGATATTAGTTTCTTTATATATGTTTTATTATTTTCTGTAATGATATATATTAATTCATGTTATTTTTAGATAAATGTTATTAAAGATTTACCAGTTGGTCAACATTTAGTAGATCATGTACTTACTGGGATTGATCTAATTATGCTTAATAAAAGTACAGGTTTCAGTATGACTAGTACTTTGAATCCTATGTCAGCATTAAATTATTTTCTTTTCGGAAAAGGTAAGATTTATTTAAAATTGAACATTGCCGTCATTTATATACTTTTTATACATTTTATGTTAGGACCTTGGACATTCACAGGAGTTGAAGTTTTGGGTACATTTCATAGCTCTATGCAGAAAAATACATCAAGTATACCAGATTTACAAATAATGGTAATGCCACTTGGGTTATCAAGGGATAATGGTGTTGTTTTAAAAGAAGCTATGGGAATTTCTGATGAGGTATATTATAAAATTATAAATATAATATATATAAGGTATATTACAAAATTATAAATTTATAAATATTATTATTATAAATTTATTAATATATAAATAAATTTATAATTCCATGAATTTTATCTACTATTAATTATGTATTAATCAAGTATAATTGAATGTTAATTTTATAGGTATACAACGAATACTTTGCCCCTAATTCATATAAAAACACAATAACTATTGCTCCAGTGTTATTACATCCAAAAAGCGAGGGAGAAATTAAATTAAGAAGTAATAATTCTTTTGAGTTACCTTTAATTGATCCAAAATATTTTTCAAATATGGATGATATTGCAACTCTTATAGATGGTATTATATTCAATTAAGATAATATAATACATATAATGCAATAAAACACATTATTCATAATAAAACACAGATATTAAATATTTTAGGATTGCAATTTATAAAGAAACTTGTTGAAACAAATGCTATGAAAAGTATTGGTGCATTTATTTATAAAAAACATTTTCCTGGTTGTGAAAATGAAACATTTGATAGCATAAAATATTGGGAATGTTACATACAACATTTAACTTTAACTTCATATCATCCTGCTGGTACATGTCGAATGGGTGATGTTGTTGATGAAATGTTTAAGTAAGTTATTAAATTTCTTAATTTCATAACTGTTTCCTAACTTAATAACTGTTTTTCTAAATTGTCTTATAGGGTTTATGGTACAAAAAATTTATATGTAGTTGATGCATCTGTACTTCCAGTTTTACCAAGTGGTAATATCAATGCTGCAATTATAATGATTGCTGAAAAAGCAGCACATATAATTAAACAAAATGCAAAAGTTGTAAATTATACAAAATGTTCTAAATCATATAACTATTATTATATATTTAACCATTAATATGTAATGATATTAATTAATAGTGTATATAAGAAATAATTTATTGAATGTTTTATTTTATTTTAATTTAATTTTAAATCAAAATGGAATAAAAGGAATTATGTTATGCATCATTTCATAACATTAAATATCAATAAATTTAGAAAATCAGATTCAAGATAATAACACATTATTTTATATTCTTTTATTTTTTATCTGCCATTTTTATATCTAGAGTGGTAATAATGTCTAGAAGAATTGTGATCTCTATGATGACTAGCACTTTTAGGATTTCTATCTCTCTGATAAGGATGCACCCGTCTGTATCTTCTATCATCTTTGTCACTAGAAGAAACATAATCCGAGTATTTCAGAGGTGCATCATATATTATATTTGAGACAAATGAGGTTCTTCTTAAACGAGGCATATCAGTTCCTAATAATATTTCTTGACCTAATATAAGCATTTCATTGGAATTCGCATGATGGATTAGATTCGTATTTTGTGAATTAGTTTGTCGTAATTTTATGTTTCTTCTTGCTCTCATGTTAAGAGTACGATTAAACAGAGATGTACCATCGAATAGCTTTAAAGCATACGATACAGAACAAAAATGTTTGTATGTTATGAATCCGTATGACCTTTGTTTGCCTTCATGATCTTTAGGAATAGAAACTCTTTGTATAGGCCCACCCTATAACATATTTTTGTAAAAGATTTTTGAAAATATTTTTGTAAAGGATAAAATTTTAAAATAAATTATGCAACATTATAGGTTGATTTATTTTCAGTTGAAAGTACAGCTGAAATATATAACCAAATTAATTGACATCAAATCGTGTACGAAGAAGCGCACATGAAGAATGTTCAATATAAAATTGTCGCATATGCTTTAGATGTATTTCTCCACTTACTAAAATATTCAGCTTAATAAATATTATTGGGAAATGTTTGTTTACGCAGATACATGAATCTACAAACCTGCAAAAATAATTCATATAGTATTTCTTCTGTTATTCTAGTGCTTAAATTTCCACACCAAATAGTTCTATCGTCCGTGTTAAAATCCATGAATGTTGAATATTATAAAATTTATTGAGAGTACAAAAGTAATTTCAGTAATAATTAAACGAAGTAAAAATTACGTAGAAGGATGAATGCATTCCAATGATAATTCATACGACTGACACTAGAGAGCATTATTGTTTGCACATATGTAGTAATTATGATGATAATTTAAATTTATATCACAATACTACAAATAAATAATAACTCCGTAATTAATTTTAGTAGTTTATATAAAAATATTATCAATATAACAAAATATATAATTACTAATAATAAATATCAAATAACGAAGATTAAATAATGAAAGTTAAATAACGAATGAATAATTTCTACTATGGTTACAATATATATAAGTGTCTGTAAACATTTCCATGGTAATAATAAAATTACTAACAATTTTTAAATATTCTATTGTTTATATTGAATACACATTTCAACGGAACGATTTAATGAACATAGATGTCGTTGATCTAAATTCTTCAAAGTAGAGGTCGCTACACATACCAACTATGCAAAGTCAGTACATATGAACTATTTTATTTATGATTGTGATTTGTTTTATGGTTAAAAAAGCAAAATTGGCGGTACCTGCTTATGAGAGTGCCTTGTAAAATAGTGTTTATGTACTATTTTCTTCCAAACCAGGACAATAAATGATAGAAAAAAAAGATATTTATAAAAAAAAGATAGAAACATATCTGTTTTATAAAACTATATAGAAAAATGTACAATGTAATAGAAATTATACTGTCTTGATATTTGATATTTGATTGAGTGAAATATTACGATTAGTACAATAAAACTTTTTTAAAAAAAGTTAAAAGATTCTAATAGGAAATTAAAATGACTACCAGATTAAATAAATGCTCAGAACATGAAATAACAATGATTCTTGATACAGAATCAGATTCTGATAAAGAGCAAAAACCATATGATAATATTACTTCAATTAAAGTGCAAAGAAATAGAAATTCGAATCCACGAAATGCAATACAAAACCTGTTGGATACATCTTCAGATACAGAGAATGTGTTCAAAAATTTTAAGTGTACATTGCCAAAAAATAGTATTTCTCATAAAGATAAAGTATCTCTTAGAATTAAACTTAGGAGATCTACAGAGCAAAGTTTATATAAAATTGATACAGACTCCGAGTATGAAAAGGCTATCTGTAAATCTCGTGGTTTAGGCAAATCTCGAATTCAAAGGCAGAGAAAAAAAAGTTATTCAGAAGTAGAAAGTGAAGGTTCCTATACTGATGGTAAAGACAGTTCTACAAAAAATAAGACTAACAATGACAACAAACACGAAGAAAGTGAGAATGACTTATCAAGGAGAAATAGAAATAGAAAGCCACCTTTAAGATTTTCTCATTACTATTGCGAGATACCTAGTTTGAATTCTCCGTCTTTAAGGGATAGGAAAAATATAAATTACGATGAGGATAAGTTGTTTATTAATTCTATTGTGTCTAACATGAAGACTCAAAACAAAATGTTAAAGCAACAAAGAAAGGAAGCTTCAAATAGATCCACTGGAAGACAGAATGTACAGGCTGAGCCTGTATCCTCCAATGTAAAAACTAATAAAAGAAACCGTACTCCATCTATAAAAGATGAGGAAAATGATAGTAGTGCAGATATTAAAATATCAAAAAAAAAATCATTGAAAAAATCTGAGAGTAGGAGTAAGGTGAATCATGATCCCATAAGAAATAAGAAAAACAATATTAATGATACAGATTCTAAAATATTAAATGCAAAGTTACTGAAGAAATCCAATAGATCTGGAAGCAAAAATGATAAGTTGGATCATGCCTCAATGAAAGATGAGGAAAATGTAAATGGTACAGATTCTAAAATATCTAACATGAAAGTAATCAGAAAATCTAATAAATCTGAGAGTGGCAATAGTAAGTTGGACGATGTTTCAAAAGTATATGAAACGACAAAGAAGCAAGATTCATTAATATCAGTATCTATAAGTAGCACACCTGTCAAATCTAGACAAAAAAGATTAATTTGTGGAAACATACCAAAACAGATGGACTCTGTTAATAATAATGACAATAGTAACGAGGGAGAATGTTTAACTGATTCATATAAACGTATTAAAATTTCATCAGCGATTAAAACTGACTCTGCCAACTCTACGCCTATTAAAACGAATAAACAAAAGGGTGAAATTTTTAAAGAAACATCAACAAACGTCCAGTCTTACAGTAAGAATAACAATGATGCACAGGATGAATATTTATCTGACATGTATAAATGTATTCAAATTTCATCCGCAAAGAAAAATATTTTAACCCCTCAAACGAGAAATAATATGCAGAAAAGCATTGAGCTAGGTCTAGAAAATACTCATTTGAGCACTCCAAAATCTCGTCCAAAATACAATAATTTAACACCGTCATTGGTAAAACGAAATAGTGCTCTAATAAAACCAACTACACCATTACAGGAGGCTAGATCCAAATTACACGTTAGCATTGTACCAAAATCCTTACCTTGTAGGGAGGAAGAGTTCAATAATATTTTTACATTTCTTAGAGGAAAATTAGAAGATAAAAGTGGAGGGTACGTTGAAAAAGATTGTCTCTTAAAACATTACATAACTAAATTGAAAAAATTTGCAGATGCATATACATAAGCGGAGTGCCAGGAACAGGTAAAACCGCAACTGTGAATGAAGCTGTTAGGTGTCTGCAAAAGTTGATACTTAAAGGTCAGTTAGATGATTTTAACTATATTGCAATTAATGGGATGAAACTAACCGAACCAAGACAAGCTTATGTGCAAATTTTAAAACAGCTGGATGGTAAAACAGCTACGTGGGAACAAGCGTATCATACATTGGACAAAAGATTTCGTAGCGGCACTTCTAAAATGACGTTGCTTCTTGTAGATGAAGTATAATTCTCTTTAAATATTTTACATTATTATCGTTATTTATTTGCTAATATATATGTCGGTCTTACAGCTTGACCTGCTATGTACAAAACGTCAAGATGTTGTTTACAATTTATTAGATTGGCCAACAAAATCAACGGCGCAGTTAGTTGTTATCACTATAGCCAATACTATGGATTTACCTGAAAGAGTTTTCATGGGTCGTGTAACATCACGCTTAGGTCTAACACGACTAACTTTTCAACCTTATAATTATAAACAACTACAGGAAATCGTCGTATCTCGACTTAAAGATTTCGATGGTTTTAGGAGTGAAGCTATACAGCTTGTTGCACGGTATTGCAAAACTTATATTACAGTATCGTACCTGTATTGTTATTACTTATTAAATGTTTTATTTTAGAAAAGTTTCTGCTGTATCTGGAGATGCCAGGCGAGCTTTGGATATATGTCGTCGCGCTATGGAAATCACAGAGTTGCGAAACGGCGAAACAATCTCTCTTCAAGATGTGTCAGAGGCTATATCCGAAATGATTGCATCGGCAAAAGTTCAGGCTATAAAACACTGTTCAGAAATGGAAAAAATATTTTTACAAGCAGTATCTGCAGAAGTCACACGAACTTCGATCGAAGAAGTATATTTTAAAGATGCGTACAAACAAGTTGAATCGTTGTGCTCATTTGATGGTTCGTTTATTTAATACGAGATTAGTCAATATTTGAAAAGATTATGTTTATTTATTCTTTACTTATTGTATTGTTACAGGTATTGAAATTCCCACTATAACAGAAATACTTGCAGTTTGTGGAAGATTAGGTTCTAATAGATTGTTAATATGTGAACATTCGAGGAGTGACTTATATCAAAAGATTTTATTGAACGTTTCTACGGATGATATTCACTATGCAACTCGGGAATTAAATTTAAATTGAAAATAGATCATAACTTTTTAAATGAATGAATGTATGAAACGTGTATGTGTATGTGCGAATGTATATGTGCCTTAAAAAAAAATAGAGAGTGCCTTAGTGAAGTAATTTATCAAACTTTTATTATCATTGAGTTTTGTAATATAAATTATTTATTACTAGATCGAATTATACGTATAAAATAAGCGATCGGTATCATTAACAAGTTATCGGTCATATTATACAAGTATATCGATATGTCATAAATACATATTACCGAATTACGTAATTTAAGAATCTCATCTGCAAATTTTACGGGCTATTAATAACCAATGAGAGGCATAATCATGGTTAACGAAAATTCGGTCGACAAGCAAATTTTAACGTTTCACAATGAACAAAAATGGTTGGATATTGTTAATTTGAACTGTACTTTGACTAAATTAAATAAAAGCAGATTATTTTGGGTGCTACCGACTATTAATGATTTGCATTGGATGAAAGAAGTAATTGATAAACAGAATGTGGCTGGATTAGTGAGCATAGGATGTGGTTGTGGTTTATTTGAATGGTTATTTGAAGAATATTCCGGTAAGATATTCATAAAGTATATTTATAATTTCTAAATTGTTCAGGAAATTTAATTTTCGTTCTTCATCAATATATATATTTTCGAGATAAAATTTTCCATCTTTAATTGGTTTATTTATTTAAGGTTTGAACGTGATCGGTGTAGAATTAGATCACTCTTGGTGGTGTAGTAAATATTCACCGCCATTGTTTCTAAAAAATATCGTTTTCATTCGTGAGAACGAAGACAATTCCTTTCTATCGAACGAATATGCCCTTCTATTTTGTTATTTTAACAACGCGTCGGCATTCTGCAATTATGTCGAAAATTATAAAGGGCGTCTTATTTTTGTTATTGGACCAAAATCAAACGAAGATCGTTGGACGGATCCAATGCCATTTGACAAGAAGTTCGATGAATATGGTTGGAAATTAATTGGTAAAAAAGAGATGGAACGTACAAACGACTATATTACAGTATATAATAAGTGATCGAATTTCATATAAAAAGACGGACAAAAATTTAAAAGACACGCTGATTTAATTATTTATAAAAAAAAATTTATTTTAAATTAATGGTTGGCAATAAATTTTAAAACATGACATGAAATATCAGTAAGTTAGAAGGTAGAATATTTTCGAAAAAGACGAGAAACAAGTTTGGCGCATTGCTTTGAAGCTATCTTCGATAAAACGAAATTTGATCGTTCGATTATCGAGATGTCATCGAGTTAGTATTTCTGACAGTGATAATAGATCGCAGTCCGACTAGTGCTTTTTGTTTGTCAAGTGTCAACAACATTAATGTCAAACAGTTGTGCGACTAATATTCACGAACGTCGAACGTCTAAAGTAGAAAACTATGACTACGAACGAGGATATTAGCACGTTAAAGGACCAAGATGAAAGGAACAAGCTGAAAGTTTACTGCACATTTTGCCCGTCGAAAATGCTCAACGCTGGTGTAGCCCGGCTAGTCAATATCGAGGTGAATCATTTGCTTTTTTTTTCTTAACATAAAGTGTCAATATAATAAACGTTAAATTCTCGTTAAAATCTCGTCAAGAATAATGCAGCCTTTTAGATGCATTTGAATCCTAACCTAACCTAAAAATGTTCGCATCCTTCGTAGTTCCCTTTTTGGTTAGATTTCCGTTATCGTGTAAACATAAGTTACAATGGAAGGGGAAGATACTTAGTAGCTGAGCTAAGATGCATAATGCAATATTTTAGTTTAATCTACCCTATATCCAACGTAAAGGAGAGGGTGAGGCCGATCAACAGGAACTAATAACTGATTACTGGTTGGTGGAGGACATGTATACATTTGAAAACATTGGTGTTTCACACACAGTAGACAACGTAAAGTATCTAGCGTGCGCGGATTGCGAAAGGGGTCCAGTGGGTTGGCACGATTTATCTACAAGGAAATCATACATTGCATTAAGTAGAGTTAAGCACGAATGATGTATATTAAATAAATTTGTTTTCTAATTTTATATAAAAAGGTGGCCTAATTTTTTTTTTATCTCGAAGGATCTGTTACGAAACAGAAAGAAGAAAAACAGAGTGATATTTCAGCTTTCAAAGTCTGTTACAAGATAAGAATGAAGAGAAATTGAGAAGCTCGGAGGTAGCCAGCTGTCAAAAAAGAACGACGTTGCGATTTAAGTTGATAATTTAATACTTAATCACGTACGTTACAAACACAGCCGATAAATCAGATAATCAATCGTCGTTACGATATAATAATTCATAAGTTTACGCTTACGATTAAAAACGACTTTAATAATCGCACGCATCAAGCGTGCATTCCCGATTTTATCGTAATAATGCATTGATGTTTTATATCATTGCGGTCGCCTGATCGCAAAAATGATTATTCATTGTGCATATTGGCTTAATTATTTTACGTAATGCGTTGGTAATGCGTGAATAATATCTACGTGTACGCATTCGTTTGTGTGTACGTATATGCATGTAAATCAACGTTCCTTCGAAAAAAAAAAAAAAAAAAAAGAAATAATCACGGTAACTTGAATTTTACGTGTTTTTGATATATTTAAGAAAATGTAGGAAACGAACTCTTTCGTTCATTCTTCACTGCACATTGTACATTCTTTTCGAAGAGGGAAATACGCTTGAAAATACGAACTATTTTTACAATTGATCGATCAACTTTTTCTTCTTTTTTCCCCTTGATTTTTGTGTCATTGTCAAAGAAAAGAAAAGGGTTGTTGCGTGTTTGTAGAGACTTTTGAAAAGAGTCAATTACAATTGTTCATTTGTATATTCATTATCACTTATATTCTCCTTCCATGTCGCGTTATATTTGCGTGAAACGTTGCAAAAATAGTCGTGCATTCATCCCGCCTTGCAAATGACAAAGCTTCTCTTTCTCTTCCTTTCTTTTTTTTTTTTGTTTTTTTTATTTCTCGTCTACTTCTTGCTCCGTTCTGCATTTTCATTAATCGCGCGCGAGTTTCTTTCATGTTAAACGTGCATAATACGTAATCGTGAACGAGCAATCAATTTATGGTAACTGTTAATAACGATCGCAACGGTGAACATCAATTATCATATATAATCACGCGATATGGCAACAATGATAAATTTCTCGGCACGATGGATAAAATAGCGACGAATAATAACGATAAACCTAACGGATATAAAGACATTCATAGAATAGTTGAGCTCGTAGTAAATAATAACATATTCGATAAATAGTAACGGTGAAAGGTATTGGATTCAACGATGTGGTTATTAAGTTCTACCCTAAAAAGAGAATTTTCTTTTTTTCGGAAACTGCATACATACATACATACATACATATATACACACACATATATATATGTCTATATGTATATACTCGAATGTAATATAGTAACATTGATAAGGCTCATCTAACGCTCCTCTTTCTTTTTTTTCTGCTCCTTCGCATCTTCTCGTACATGTCAGATGTGCACATTCTTTGAACATAATACAATGCATACCCTAATATACGCAAATCAATAAGCAGTCATCGATATCGTGTATCGAAGAAGTGAGTCTACATCGTACTGTTCGCGTTATATAGAATCCGTGGTTTTTTTTTTTATCCATGCCTTCGACAGATGAAGTGGAAAAGGTACAAAAATAACAAGAATAGAATCGGATAGACTAGACACAGTCGAACAAATGTACACAGTCTGTACTATCGTAAAAGTCCAATAATCGTTCGTTGCTGATTCATTGATCAACCTAATCTTCGAATCATCTCGGACAGTTATTTATACAGATATCTCCTCCAGTTTCTATAGACCTTTCGTTTTCTTTCCTCTCTTTTCTTTCTTTCATTCTTTTCGTTCGATTTCATTCCCGTTTTTTTTCTTTTTTTTTCTTTTTTTCTCCTAAAGTTATTCTTCTAGCTATCATTAAAGTGTTCCACAGCGTTTCAATGGCACTCTGAATGACTTTATTTCTCGTTTCCTCTTAGACGAGAAGGAATAAGCGTAATCAAATACATCGCTTTTCAACGAAACAAGAATTATACACGGCACGCTTCGATAGATAATACGAACTCGCGAGTGTTTTACACACGAAACGAAAGTTAAACGGATTAAATTAAACTCCATGATGTTGTCAAATGAGAGAGAGCTCTACGATCTTTCAATTTTCGTGTTTCACAGCACGTGTCGGCTGACAACGTACCGGAATTACAATAATCAAAATACAATTAGTTGTTTGAAGAATTCTTCAAAATGACACAGAGGCGATCTCTTTTACCTGTTTGTGTCGCCACTACAACGAATCGTATACCCCGATAACGATTAGCCTAGCAATAAGAAAGTTTCGATGCGAAACACAGAACGAAAAATATGTACATACATACGTCTGCCTTTGAACTGTTCAACATTTTGCTAGCTTGTACAGTTGTCTCTCTTTGTTCGAACCCTTTCGAGACAGCATCTTTCCTTATAACAGTAATTCCGTTAATGGGATGTGTAATTGAATTCGTAACAGGATACTATGACCTTACATCTAGATGATATTTCGATAATTTTCCTAAAAGTCACTTGTAATTTGTAAAATTCTTTGTAACCTTTAGTTCGACTGGTGTTGCATCATTGGTCTCGCAAGGGTTAAAAAAAAAGAAAAAAAGAAAAAGAATTACTCGTCACTCATCGATTATTCATCGTTCTTTCACACTGTTACGATCTTCCAGTTCGTCGTTGCCTAGAAAATCAGTTCAACTAACTGTGACCTCTATTTCTCTGTAAACTAACAATTTCTCAGGGATTGAGAATGTGTTTCGATCTGGCTAGTTACAAAGCGCTTGGCGTTATCGTTTCCTTTTCTTTCCTTTTTTTTTCTGTTTTCTTTTCTTTTTTTTTTTCTTTTTTCTTTAACGAGAACGCTGATCAAAAATGAATCTATCAGATAAACTTTCGACGATATATTATTAACGGCGATACATTAAAAATCGGGCAGAACGCGTCAGTGAAAGCTGCCTAAACGTCTGGAAAAGATCAAACTGTCGAACGTACGTCGATTGGTGTTTGGAGAGTTAATTAATCTCGGAGAATTTGACGACGCACGACGAAGCTCGAAACGTTTGCATATTCGACGGTGATTCATCCTTCGTTTCGTTCTCCTCCCCCTTGTTACAATATTTTTAATACTGTCCGGACCAGCATTATTAAGCGATACTTATACATACGAATCTCCATGAAACTGTCCCTTCAATTTCAGTATCGAACGGCGTACGTAGACAAAATATAAATACAGTTTGAAAAAATAAATATGCTTCCGCGCGAAAAGTAGACTCGTTTAATTGCAAGTCGTTTAGTTTAATGATATTTCACGTTTAGAGAGTGTCAATCCATCCATTACATTGGAAATGTTAACGGTAAAAAAACTAAGAACTATACGAACATAGTAATTTCGATTGATAATACTTAAATGCACGTACGTTCGTCTTTGATCATTGCGTATAATATATAGATAAATGTATAGGTGTATATCCCTGTTCGTAAGTATCAGCATGTTTATAAAAAGAATTATTTGAGCTTGAGTATTCATTAAGATTATAGTATTATATTCCTTTCGTAACTGTTTTTACAAAATTCGATCGTTATTTTTCTCCGATAATTAAGATCGGATGTCACGTAATTATCCATAATTTCTCCGATAATTAAGATCGGATGTCACGTAATTATCCATAATTTCTCAATGAAATTTTACGAGACGCAAGTAGCAATTAAAAAAAAAAAAAAGAAATAAAGTAAAGATATCACAATTTTTGCACGTTATCCTGATTACCTTATTTAACGTGAAAACTTCGAGTACCTCTGAACGTGAGAGTGTAAAAAAGTGTAGTTTTGGCAAAAAGCTGCAGGACGAGTTGCCAGAAGGAGATCGGCGCGCAACGAAGGATGAATCCCGGCTTTCTATGCGATCTCGTAGGAGGCATTGCCAAGTGCAGCTCTAATTGTACGACGCTAAAGATTTAGGTTTACGTGTTTTTGGTCCGTGGAGTATTAAACATTAACGACATTAATTGATTTATTTATCAACGCATCCTATCATCTAAACGACTGCTTGTTCACTCGCGGCAAATGACGACGCGTATATATATAAAACATAGCATAGATAGGTAATCAACGATCATTCCTTTCTCTCATCGATTCGTCGCCAACCTCGGCGAAATTTTCGCAACATTCTTCTTTGCCTTTATATATACAATTCTATCCTTCTGTCTTTGGTGTGTATCTTTCTCGGATTAAGAAAGAGAAAAAAAAAAACAAAAAAAAGAAAAAGAAAATTCACCGAGTTGGATATTTTTCGTTCGCTCGTCCAGACTTGCCGACTGAATGAATCGAATCGTTCTCGTTCCTTGATCGGTTAACTCAGGCTCTACGCAATATATATATATATTCGTTGTGTCGATTACGCTGTTATTCTCATATATTCTCTTAAGATCGGCGCCATAATAATAAGAGAAGCTTATTTTTTTTTCTTTTTTTTTTTTTTCTTTACGATGTGCCCGCGTAGCACTCGCAAGATCAACACCTACGATCCTAATTATCGTAATTGTTAATAAATATATAGCGATAACGGTACAATTACATCGTTCGCATCGAAGTGACGCGTATTTCTTGATAATTATAAAAGCGGCTGAACGTTTTATCTCCTTGTTGATTCTTATTACAACGAACGAGTTGTTGAATGAGTAACACGCGAAAGATGAAAATTAAAATCCGAGGTGCGTTTTGCGATCGATATAATTATATAGGATTTTTGGATTATTCTAAACACGTAGTATGTGATACGTTGTTTCTCTCTCTCTCTGTTTTCCGCGCGACTCGTACACGATTGAGCTTAGTGAAATCGTTCTAAGGTTAAAGAAGAAAACTTTCTTCAACGATCGGCTCGCTCGTTTACCCGTGGCTCGACTAACTCCGTTGAAAGCACGATAGGCGATGGAATATTTGTTTGGTCTGCGATTAATATTGCTGAATGATCGAGCGAATGGCACGCGCGACTCGAAATCGCGCTGTGTAAACGCCTCGATGTTCGATGTTCTCCCCTTGCCGCGTGTTCTCTCTCGTATAATATAATCTCACCGAAATCTCCCGTAATAACGAATAACGCTTAGCGATAACGATATAGTTAGCGCGGTAGTAGCGGCGGTATTTTAGTAACAGTAATAGTTATTTCTTTTTTTTTTTTTTTTTTTTTTTTTTTTCCTTTTTTTGTTTCAATGACAACAGTATTAATAGTAGCGGTGTTGATAAGTAATAAATGACGTCGACGCGGTGGAGAGATGACGATGACGACGAGAACGACGATGACGAATGGCGGTGATCGACAATAATAAGAACAGTAACAGTTAATACGTACGTTAATAGTGTCTAAAGATACGCGGATTACTCGAAGAAACATCGAATGTTAACTCTGGAATTACGTGCTAAGTCTCTTTTTGGTTTCGCTTCTTCGCCCTTGGTTTCCTTTCCATCGAAGCTCATACCGTATTATTTTTCATTTCGAGAAACGGTGTCGAATGGCGTGCTTAACTTTCGTTATTGTTCTCTACGTGTGCTCTCCCTAAATTAATATATATATATATATATATATATATATATATATATATATATATATATATATATATCTTTCGCGGGCAAAGCATCAGCGTCGCTCAAGAGCATCGGAGCATGGGCACTTCGTTAAATCTAATACATAGCAAGCTTTACCCGTATTGAGTTAATTCCTCCCTGTGTGTACGTGATCCTTTCGTCGTTAATTTCGTTTACTCATCGATGAAGTAATTTCGCTCGTGTACAGTTCAAAAATACCACTTGCAGAAGGAAAAGAGGTTTTTCGAAGGTATTCGAATGGTTACAATATACTTTGCGAAGTTCAATGGATCGATACGAAATTTCCTGTGTCGTGATACATTGCTTTCTCTTGCTCGTCGAAACGAATCCGAGGGTGCCCGTAACGAGAACCACCCTTATTTACTCATGTTTGTATCATTTCCCAATCTTTTTCAGACGAAATATTCATCACGTTACGTATATTCCTTATACATTAATTACATTATTGCGTATCTGTTCAATTAAATCGTGGCGAAATGTTTCATTAATTGTTATGAAAAATCGTGACAGAATCAGTTTTAATATTCATTGCTTCTTTTTTTTTTTTTTTGTAGCTAGAACGTGTTATTATTGTTATCTAAAAAGCTGAGGAATCTGGCAAAGATCGTTCTTGTTACGAGCGCCTCAGTTTCTCCTGATATTCCTCGAATTACATCGATCGTATAGAGTTTATAGATAAAATATAAATCGTAAAAGTTATTTATACGAATGCTACCCTGAACGATTGAAAAAAGAGGGGTACATATCGTATGTACTGTGAAAAGCTTTGATGAAACGACGATTGATTAACTATATTTATGTGTGTATCTGTGTGTAATGTATGTATTCGCGTGTGTTGTGTGTGTATGTATATATGTATGTATGCACGTGTGTATGTGTGTGTGTGTGTGTATATATATATCATATTATATATATATATTTTTTTTTTCTTTTTGTACAACGGAATTATATGCTTTGCAGCCCTTCTCTCTCGATTGAAAGCGAACGTCTTTTTTTTTCTTTTTTTTTTTTTTTAAAGGTCTACGAATATAGAGCTAACTTGCGATCACGTTGATTTTTGCCACGGTATCGTAGATCCACGATAAAGTACAGAAAAAAGGTCGATATTTAAGTAAAAGGCGAATCACGAGTTAGCGATTTCATGGACGACACTTACATCGACCTTACCTATTTGTAGTGAGATTACAAGTATTAACATTCCTTAAGTACGTAAATTTGATTTCTTCTTTTTTTTTTTTTCTTTTTCTTTTCAGCTAGTTTTCAGAGAAGCATCCTCGAATTAGCGACATCACTAGATCCGATAGTAGAAGAAAAAAAAGAGGTTTTTTTTAAAGAGTGTGTCCGCGTTTTTTCTTTTTTTTTTTTTCGTTCGTCCTTTCTCTCGCTCTTTCATTCTTTCTCCCTCTCACTCTCACTGTCTCTCACACATACTCTCCCTCTCTATTACTCTATCTCTCTTCATACGTATGCCCCTCGTTCGATTGTTCTTCACCGGACCAAGCTTTTTTTTTTTTTCTTTTCTTTTTTGTTTACGATAAAGAGTGCTTTTAAGAATTATCACATGTGAGAAAAGATGAGGAAGAGGCGAATTTTCCATCAATTTTCTCTCGGCCCCGATGTCCCCCTCGAAGCCAAAGGGAAAGACAGCCAACTTACGGTACGATCTTCGCCTAACCACGCGCCGATCGACGCGTTGTTTCAATATATATCGTCGATACATTTCTCCTTTCTTTTTTTCCTTTTTTCCTTTCCTTCAACGTACGAGACGTGATAATTTTGCTTCGAAAGCATCGACATTTCGCGACACTTCTCGCGAATCCTCTTTTCTTTCCTTTTCTTTTTTTTTTTTTCATTTTCCCTCGAGCGGAGAAAAACGATCGCCGAGCACTTCCTCCTTCGGCGTCGAGTTTGTCCGACGTTTGTCCCCTCTCTGCGTTCGACGCGCACTCTCGAGGAACGACTTCCGGGTCACCTACACCCCCCCCCCCTCCCCCCCTCGAACCTTAGCCTCGGATTCTCTTTGGTAAATTGAAATTGAAATAAAATTCACGCGGAAAGACGGTGTCTTTGTTTTCGATGATCAACGGTGGAATTCTTTTCGAACTCTGGTGTGCCTCTGGTGTCGGTGTCTACGATGTGCCTTTGTAGTGGATGAAGAAAAAGGTGAGGAACATGAAATAGGCGACCGGAAAGGTGATTCTTGCTATCACGTCGATCGTCTTTGCCACTCTTATCGGATGCGGTGGTTCCTTTTTCCTCAGCTGAAATAAAAGGATTCGTTGCTGTGACTGTCCGATATACAGCAGGGATTGCGGGAAAAAGATGACGGATGAAAGGACGAGGAGTGTGGATACTGGTCGTGTGTACCGGGTGTCTCGAGCAGTCGAGGTTCAACTTTGAGAAGCGTGTGTCGTAGAATTCGCTGAAAAATGAGCGGAGAAATTTTTGACAAACCTAACGTTTGCTAAATAAAATTTAATAATAAACAAAACCTAGGGTTTTTTTAAATATAGTTAATGATACTTTTTTTTTTTACTATAGTTAAATATAGTTATAAGGTTTTTAATATAATTTTTTTAGTTTCAATTTAATATAATTAATATAGTTTTAAAATACAATTTCTGGACTTCTACTGTTCAACATAGTGACCGATTATAATTTTTATTGCAAACGTTTTTAGGTTCCTGAAACTAACTCAAAATCTTTATATTGTCATTCTTATCAGTAGCGGTACTTAATATATTCGACCTGACTGATTTATCAGGTCCTTTTTATTATACACACTCCTCAAATTTGACACAGATGCCCCAGTACACTCGTGGAAAGAGAAATCTGACATTTCGTAGTATATACAGAGTGTTTCATAACTTGTAGGACCCACTTCGGGAGCTGATTGTACGCCTAAAAATAATGAAAAAAAGTCATATAAATGTATGTCCTGTCTGTCTTCGTTTATGAGATATAATGAATTTTCTGTTTTAATTACTTTTACAAAAGATGCTCGAAATGACCA